TTTGGATGGAATTTGGTGACAATTGATTCACACATATAAGACAAATTGGGGTACCTTCCGAACAAAAATTGATATTTTCATAGTAAAATCCATGATAAACGCAACTTTTGTTGGGGAGGTAACTTAAATAGCCACTTTCAAGAGTTTTTGGCTGGGAAGACTCTCCATATTTTCGAGAAAAATAACTTTGTACCAAGACACCATCCCTGAAAAGCCTACATTTGGGGATTTTTCGGCCAAAAGTCGATTTTTTTAGATTTGAAATCGAATATGAGGCTAGAAATATGTGAAAAAATCACTCGATTTAGTCATGTAGGTACTTAAAATGTTCGTAAAGGACCATACTAGATGTTCAAAGGCAGAAAAGGTAGAAATCATTTGCTTTTACCTGTCAAACCGAAGCTCATGTTTGTGATTTGCTCATTTTGGCCTGAAATTCGTCTTATATGTGTGAATCAATTGTCACCAAATTCCATCCAAATGGCAATCTGACAAGTACCAAAATTTTTATACAGGTGTTGGCTACACGATACGAGTCGAAAACTGAACAATAGTCCACCGCCTGGGTGACCAGTAGAGCAAAAAATGCCGAAAAATGCCGAAAATTTGCCATTTTTCCGGTCATTTTACACTGTAACTGGCCCAGAATGCCTTTTCAAGGGCTGATGTCTTGATAAAAATTATAGATATTAACGAGCCAAATAAAACCCCATCACTGGTTTTGGCCGGAAATTGGCTGGAAAAATCATGGGCGTGACATGCAGCCACATGGGTACAGCGCCCGTGTACTTCGTAGTGGAAAAAAAGTGAAGCTTGCTTGTCACCAATATTGATGTTCACGAACATCAAATTGTTTATGCGTTATTTCGCCCACTTTATGCACTGGAAATAAAAAGTTCTTCAATTTCTAGCAAATTTCACATATGAATTCATAAACACATCGAGAAAACACAACTATTTTTTCACATAAAAAGCATAAGCAAGATGATTTTTTCGTTGATGGTTGTTCGATCCTGGATCGTTTGTGATTCATCAACGATTTGCAACACATCCATTTTTGATTTCGATATTCCAACTGAATACGATGTTTTGTATTCATTAAACAATTCCATTTTGATCAGAAAATAATTTTTTATTGAAATGGCTGTGACGAAAAACCACGCGAACGATTGCAAACGATAGCACAAACATTAATGTCTAGGAACATCAAATTCGAATTGACATTATTGTCAAAGCGAATTCATCGGGAAACACTGACTTGAAGTTCGACACAAATGTCAAATTAATTCGCCGATGTGAAGCAACAAAACAAAATAAATAAAAATACAAGCAAACAAACATTTTGTGTTGATCTAATCTGCAAGTTTTATATTTTTTCAGAATAAAAATGGTAATTTTTTTGTATTTTATTGTTTCATTACAAATAAAATCTCTATTGTGATTTTTAAGTATACATTTATAAAAGATATCTTCAAAAATCAACTTTGAATGTAATATAATTTGTTATTGGCGACGAACAATTAATCGAACGCATTTAATCGAACATAAAATAATTTTCAGTCTGCCGGTTTGCTGATGTTCCCCGAATCGACCGACGAAGTGCCCAGTGCCCACCACCGATGTCGAAGAAGACAAACTAATTTCCGTGATAATTTAAATTTTGCCATTCAACATTCCAATAAGGGCAAACGCAGTGTAATCGAAAAACATTTGGAAGGCATCAAGCATTGGGGCCTAAATCGACATGACAAAATCAATCAACCGTCCCATTGTATTGCGAAATCGACGCCAAAGGAAGAAATTGAATGATAAAATCATTAATCTTCCGTATTTGATGTTCCTAGACATTAATGTTTGTGCTATCGTTTGCAATCGTTCGCGTGGTTTTTCGTCATAGCCATTTTAATAAAAAATTATTTTGTGATCAAAATGGAATTGTTTAATGAATACAAAACATCGTATTCAGTTGGAATATCGAAATCAAAAATGGATGTGTTGCAAATCATTAATGAATCACAAACGATCCAGGATCGAACAACCATCAACGAAAAAATTATCTTGCTTATGCTTTTTATGTGAAAAAAAGTTGTGTTTTCTCGATGTGTTTATGAATTCATATGTGAAATTTGCTAGAAATTGAAGAACTTTTCATTTCCAGTTCATAAAATGGGCGAAATAACGCATAAACAATTTGATGTTCGTGAACATCAATATTGGTGACAAGCAAGCTTCACTTTTTTTCCACTACGAAGTACACGGGCGCTGCTTGTACGAAATTCCGTTTGTATGAAGCATGTCACGCCGATGGGAAAAATGATTTAGGTTTAAATGTTGCGATCTACAATGGCTTCCGAAACTACCTTACTCAAAAATTTGATGAATTTTGAGAAAGTGGTTTTTTTCTACGTTTTTCGATTTTTTGATGCCAAACCTATTTTTTTTAGGCCAATTTTCCAAAAACCGATCGGGGAGTTTGAATATCTCAATTTTTTTTTTGAAGCAGTCTATTCATGCATCTATGGGTGAGATTGAGAGTAGTGTATGTTTCATTGACTTTGTTACGAAAGAGAAGAGCAAGTTTCTGTCGACCTAAAAATGGTTAAAAGCGAGTATGTTCGTTTTTAACGGGTCCTCGCGGTTTTTCACGGTTTCTGCGGAACTGATAAGAGATAACAACTTGGTGTTTTCGGCAAAGTTGTAGCACTCGTGGTCTCCTATAACATTGCTGAAGTCAGTTATCTCTTATCTCTTATCAGTTCCGCGAAAAGCGCGAAAAATGATAAGAAAAAAAAAGTTCCATATAAAATTTGCTTTTTTATGTGCGCGATTTGCGCGCAACTGATAAGAGATAAGAGATAATTGTCTTCAGCTTAGTTATAGAAGACCTCGAGTACTACAACTTTGCCGAAGACACCATGTTGTTATCTTTTATCAGTTGCGCGAAAACCATGAAGACCGCGGAGGCTAGACGGTACTACAACATACTATACTTTAACGCCAACAGAATCATCAGAAAACATACTCGCCTTTTCAAAAATATAAATCGAAGAAAAAACATACTCCACTCTCAATCTCACCCATAGACATGTATGCAATCGACTTATAGTTTGGGATGTAAGTTATTTATTTCCGATTTATACATACAGAAATGGTCAGGAATAATAGTTAGTCAAATGTTAAGCAAATTTACTATTATAGATTTATGATAAATTTAGAAGATATTCGAGTTTTTTGGCAGCCTCAGTGACACTTTGGATTGAATTCTGAATGTCATATTTTAATTCGAGTAGGCGTTGAGTTAAATACATATGAAATGCATCTAAGCTACGATCGCAATATTTTTTATCACCCATATCAGTTGACGTGGGCGTGGATGTAGCATAGTTCTTCTCATCTGGTTCGTTGCTGGTCACTCCAATTCCGTTTCCTTTTGGAATGACCTCACTGTTAGTGCTGTTATCGATATCTGTGGTACACGGAACACCTTTTATATTCTCTGTATCTTTCGTCAAATCAACTGAATCCAGTTCAATGCCATTGCTTTCAAGATATTTTATAATCGATGCTAAGTTGTGGCAGGACCAATCATTTTCCGATATACTAATTTTTGAAAGAGATGGAAGAGTTTTCCGAATTTCTGCTGCGTCTATTTTATTGAGATTATTGCCATCCAGATGAAGTTTTCTAAGGCTTTTCATCGATACGAACATTTGAAAATTTATATTACGCAACCAATTGTATGAAATATCAAGCAATTTCAACTTGGATTTATGTGAAAACATGCCAAATTGAATTTTAGAAAGTCCACTATTTCGCAAATTCAACACTTCCAATCGATGCATATTGGCGAACGACGTAAGATCAATGTCGTTTATTGAGTTGTTCATTAAATCGAGATAGGTCATTTTGTTGAATCGTGTTAAATTTTGCATTTTTTCCAACCGATTGTTTGCGAGTTCGATATGCTCCAAATTTGCCAGCGTTGCATCATTGCTATCAATAAACGTTATTCCATTATTGTTGGCCAAAACTTGTTTAGTACGTGAACCGATATAGCACCCCTTCGAATTCGTGTTTCGAATGTCAATCGATTCAGCGTTAATGACACAGCATCCTGGATTTGCATTTGGGTTGTTGTGCAAATCAAATTTGTTAACATATGATAAATGTCGAAACGTTAGTTCACCGAACATCCATTCAATGGCATTGTCATTCAAGTGAATATCCTGTAGGCGTACGTTTTGTCCAAACAATTCTACTGGAATCATTTTAATTGAATTGTGACTTAAACGAATCGTTTTCAATTGAGTTAACGAGTCAAAACAATTTGCCGGTATTAATTGGAGTCTATTATGGTCCAGATTCAAAATGTTCAACTGTCCAAGTCCCGAGAATGCATTAACGTGAATTGATTGGATCAGGTTCTTTGACAAATGCAATTCTATTAATTGTTTTGCTAAACTGAATGCATGCTCAACAAGTGTTCCAATGTGATTTTTCGACAAATCCAAAACTGCAAGCGCGTTGCCATTTCGAAACGCCTCTTTGCTCACGTTCTGAAGTTTAATGTTCCACGCGTAGACGGTCCTAATGTTTGGAAAGTATTCAAAAAATCCCAAGGGTAATGCGTCAATTGTGCAATTATCGAAAATCAGCTCGCGTTTTTCATCAGCAATCGGATTTGGTTTGAATGTGACCTTATGGAAAGTTCTATTATTCATATGTCGAATGAAACAGAATCGACGGCCAAAGTCTGTGTTCGAAATAGAATCACATTCTATTTGAATATTTTCATTCGCGAAAACACTACAAATTTGCAGTAAGTAGAGAAACAGAAATCTATATTTCAAACACATCATCTTCAAATGTTCAAGTAATACTAACGATGCGATTTGCTTCAAGTTCTAGAAAATAGTAAATAGTCATGGCATTGGAATATATCAATTGAATGTGCTGCCCAGTGGGCACTGCCCACATCCTGTACAAATGATTGATAGCATCTGTAGTGCTATTTAGCACCACCAACAAAGCATCAAGTAATGATATCAGTTAATTTTTGCTTGCAAAACATTCAAATGAGCTGCAGCTAACGTTACTATTTCTTAAGTTCATAAACTTTTGGAGTTTGTATATTGTTCCTTTTTATTGTTATCAAATTAATAATGTCAATATTGATAAGAAGAATACAACATTACAGCATTTTATGAAACGGACGTGTTCGGAGGTAGAAATTTGAAAAAAGAGGACAATTTTAATTAAGAGCCGTGGGCAGGTTCTGGATCATGGAAACATTTTGCGGTTTCACAACAGTAGGAATCACATGCGAGAAAATGTTCATTTGTCTGAAAGCAAACTCTTTGGTCTTAACGATTTCTACCAACATTATCGGGGATTTTATTTACTGAATTTACGTCACTTGAATATAAAATCAGCTAGTTCATCATAACATACGGAAAAGAAACTCAACAATTAAGTGATTTCACTGAAATATTTGCAAAAAATTGAAGTAATGCAAAAATACACCTTCGCTTTGTTCGGACGGTGTTTCCTTGCACATTACCATAGCTACGGCTAATTTACGAAGAAAGAAGCGTATAACTTTACCAAAGAACAAATAGAAAATTTATTGCTTGTCCATGCAACAGTTATTAGAAAATTTACAATTCACTTTGAGACCATGTTTTCGATTTCGAGATTAACGGTGCGATTTCATCATCTTCTTCAGTAATTGAAATCTAATTTTAAAATATTTTGAATAATATTTATGTGTGTTATCTTGGAGCTACTCTATACTATAACAAATATTTTGAATCTATGGTGGCATAGCCAACAAAAAATTACACAACTTTTCATAAGGTTGAACAGAAAGCAACAAATTTCCGCAATCATCAATTTGAAATGTTGAAGGACAATTATATTCTGTGTTTGTGTGCATGTGCATAATAGAAAGATTAAAAAACAGAAGAATTCCCGTGAATTCGAAAAAAGTCATTTGTCTTTTTTCACAGTTCGAGGAATATAGTTCAATATGACCAAATCTCTACTTTTGATAATCGAAAGGGTTTTCATATTAATAATTTGGGATTTTTTTCAGCTTAAAAGTGGATTAACATTTAATTCCAACATTTCACCAACATTGAAATACGAAAAATAAATGTATCCAATTCACCAAAAACGTTCAATTAAAATATCTATCAGTCTGCATTGAATGTTTTCTGTTGAAATTATTTTCACAGCTGACGAAATGCGAACGAATATTCTATCGGTTTTATTTTACTGTGTCAACTGTTTCACGCAACACTGATTCACCATCGTCTGTGGTTTTCAGACGCAACAACGAGGGAAAATAATATCCTTTCCGAGATCAAGTGACGTTTGCTACCATCTGAATTCTCGGGGACTTCAGTTGTCTCCAGTTGAGACTCTGAACAACGGTAAAGCTTATTACTTTACGTTTTGTGTAGCTCAAATTTGATTTACCGGCATTTTTTTCTAATCTCGAATAATTAATATGAAATCCTTTCTCTCACTGTATGCATGCTAGCTTTATGAAAGAAGAGTAAGTATTGGTGGAAAACTGGTGCAAAAAATTTAATTTCAAGACTTACAACTAAAACGTTTGACAAAGTTTTAAAATTTTCAATTCGTTCAACTGCCAATTTCTTGAACTACTATTATCATCGTATTATTTACATTTAACCCTCTGATGCTTTAATTTTTCCCAGGTACTGGTACTTGGTTGATTTTTGGCCATAGATAAGTAATTTAAAAAAATATTCATAATCTAGGATTCCTCACATTCCTCACGTTTTTGCGCACATTCTTGTTTATAACACGATAACCGCTTGATGTAGACGAGGGTTAACCCTCTAATGCATACAACCCCTCTAGTCGGGAAACATTTGAACGTCTGTATAATCTTATTTTTTGCACTATTAGTGACATCAAGTGGTTGTCTTGTTATAAACAAAAATGTGTACAAAAACAAAAATTTGACAAAATAAACTATTTGGATCACACGTTAGACAATTTTTTGACACTTCTAAACAATGTATTTGATTGTTCTCCGATTTATGTCAATCGCATTTCCTGACTAAACCATGAGGAATCTGGGATTATGAATATTTTTTACGACCAAAAATCAACTAAATACTTCTAGCCCTGGGGAAAATTAATGCATTAGAGGGTTAAAGTCCAAATATGGCCGCTGCTCTTAATTGAAACTTTTTTAAAAATTGGTCAAATTTAAAGAGATTTATTACATTTTTGATTCGTACTGCAGTGGATTCGGCATGCATTTTTCGTCTATGCATGAATCAAAAGTGTATTATTTTGTGCATTGGAAACCATTTTGCTTTTTAATAATACAATTGCTGTGAAGGAAACTGAGCGGTGGAAATTGGACACTGATAGCACACTTACCATCACAAAGTGGTTTACAAAAAACATTCTTTGAAAGGGATAAACCATTGTATTGTACATAAGGGTATTTTTCATAACGTGGACAAGAGAAATTGTAGATTTTAAATTGAAGAGAAAAGAATTCTGTATCAATTAGTAGTGTTCATACAACGAAGCAATCGATATTCACACTTCTCGAAGCTAAAAACGGTCTAATTTGAATACATGTTTTTGGAACGCTACCCAGCATCTGTCAAATTCGAACATTTGAAATGACATCAATTCCAACTACTATGTGCCGAAATTCGGCAGCCGAATGAACTGTATAAACAAACTTCTAACAAGAAATTCGATTTGTGTATGTGTTTCACATTGAAAGTGTGATTTTGGCACGAAAACTTCTCTTTCATCGCACACAACGCAACACAACACAACAGACTCATTTGTTATTGTGTTTGATGTTAGCGCATTGACATATTGAAGCTGGCATCGGTTGAGTAAAGTTGTTGCAACGACACAGTGAATTGCTTTATTCTTTATCAGAAAGTGCGTAAATGATTTATTAACTGTATTTTGTGCAGCGTACGTCGTTTTCAACCAATTAAAATAATTTTTTTGTTTAAAGGATATTCATCGTGGCCCGTGGAGTCTGTGGAGCTCGCGAAAATGGATGCGATGAGTGGATTACAACAGTGAATCTGGGACTACGAATAATCATCCAAGGACCGTATCGGCTGATTTTGTCAACAGTGATTGGGGAAATGGGCATCATGGCAACGCTAATCTCACTCCTAGCATCGCTCTATTTTCTATATCTGGTAAGTTATTTTTTACATTTTCACTATTTTCACCATATTGTACGACCATCTTGAACCGATTCGATTCGATCAAATTGAACGAAAAAAACCATTGTTCTTGTTAGGTTAATACGGCGGTCAATGATTTCAACAACGATTCTTCAACAGCAATGGTAATGAAATTATCAAAATGTGCTTCCAAGGTTCGGACATAGAAATATGTTTACCTAGATGTTCTATACTGTATAAATGTGCAAAGCATAGACGCATATGGACGACCGTGCGACGGACGTATCACCCGAGCCATCGTTGTTTGCTGTATACTGTATTCATACACACACGTAGGGGAATGTAACCGGTTGTGGGACAGTCGATTATTTTGACACTTATGTTGTATTAACACCAAAGGATTTATTGTAATGTTGTTTTATATCCGTAATCAAACTTTTGGTACGACTCTGAGCTGAATATATGCATTCGTTATATTATTTCCAGACGATGTGTTGAAAAATGTAAAAAAAAGTTTCATAGAATTCTTTTGAGAAGTAATATTTTCTCAATTTTGATGAAAAAATTATCAGTTAAATATTGATATACATGGTTTAAGGACTAAATTTTATCATGGGTTTATCAATATATGAGCATTGAATTTTTTTTGCATCACAACCAACTGGTGTACGATTCCGGTTGAGGAACAGTCATGTACCCAGTTGTGGGACACCCATTTTTTGCATTGAAAGCATGAATTCGACGTTTCAGTGATGAAATATGTTCATTTGTGTTAAAATAAATATGTGTGGTCAGAAACAAAGCAAAACCGTTGTTGATGAAGATAAGGCCGAAACCAAACGCAAATATTTGGCAAACGAATTCGTGTATGCGTTGGGATTTGATCCAGGCATGCGAACCTTTATTGCGACGGTCCGCTTCAATCTAAAGACCGGCGAAGAGATAAGTTTTTGGAAAATGAAAAGAAGAAAAGAAGAAGAGGAATTAATTTACTTCTGTTGCATTTTATTTTCAGACCAACGAGAAGATTTCGTTCAAACAATACCATCAGAAATCGGAGCAAGATGCGCGCATCATAAAAGCCGAACGAATGACACGAGTCTTTGAGCATGACAAACAAGCGGACCTCAAGCGTATCGCCGCAGAGATTGGCCAGACATCATCGCCACGGAACATCTCTTGGCGCCATTGCATCGAACATCGCCTGCGAATGTCCCAAGATGGTTTCGCGGCATACAGTCAGGAAAACTATGTACGCATACGTTTGGACAAACATATTGGATGGCGTGGTGCAATCGATCTCATCGCCGGTAAGCTTGTTAATTTCAAGGCAGCTATCATCAACATCGGAGCAGCCGAAATTTCACCAGATTGGCCGATCAGAATTAAAAAGTACGTGCGGTGTCCAGGCGTTCGCAAGCTGATTGCAGCCTTCAAAAGACGTGGGAATTGTATCGTTCGGTTGTTAGATGAATACATGACATCGCAACATTGTGCCCGATGCTTCAAATGGCTCCCGATATGGACGAAGAGCAAACGATACAAAAAGTGCAACGATTGCTGACCGGATGAACGTGTTGGACTTCCGGAAACCATTTATACGAACGTGAGCAAACGAGTGTTGCAGATACAACGGAAAATCATGCGTACATGGGAGGAAATACTCGACCAAGGTGATGCTATTGCAGCCATTCTAACCCAACGAGATTCAGGACGTTTGGTGTCAAAGAAGCAACGCTTCTTTAAAACCTGGCAACCAAATGCTGCTGAAAACACTGGAACAGAGGACGCTGCAGAATCACACAAGTTGCTCAAAACACTTTGGCATCGGGACATATCAGTAGCCAAACTGAAGTCGGTTTTCGCTTGAATTAAATGTTACTTGTGTTTATTAACTATTCACGCTGCTTGACATTCCGATACATCCAGCATTGCTGCGACGACCAGATGACGACGGCGTTCCACTCATTACATAATTCAGAATCCAGCGATTAGGATTGAAGTTTTTTCAGCAAATATTTCCTAATAGTTTATTAGAGTTCTCAAGCCTTGCACTTAATGGCTATTTTCGGTCTATAAGTCCAACTTTGTATGCCACAGTACATGAGTGGTTTTATAGACGTAATTTGATGATCAGAATGGGTCGTGTTCATTTTTCGGTTTGACAATGTCAAATTGATCAGGCCACCGCATTCTTTGGATATGACTTCTTCAATGCATCATATGGCAGTTATGAAAAACACCCTAGTGTATTGTACATAAATATTAAAAAATAATATTTGGCACTCTATTACATATCATATATCAAATATTATAACATCAAATACGGTATTAAATGATCAAATTTGGTTCAAAATAAATGGGATAAAATAGTTTGGACATAAATTTATTGATATTAAAAAGAGACGATTTTTCGCGAAGACGGCAAAATTCACACGAAACATGTTTAATATGTGTGCATTATCACTTTACCTCAATGTGATCGCATGTGCAAATACTGTGCTGATGCTCCGAATCACAGCATTCCGAATCGGTCCATCTTTCCAAAATATTTTGCTTAGCCGTTTGTTTTATTTGATATTCCTCGTCGAAGTCTGTATCTTCTGTTTTCAAAAGATCCTCGTAAGCTAAATGTTTTCCGCGGTAGAAGCTACATTTACGTTCTAATTGTTCAGCAGTCGGTGGTCCGGGGGAAGGTAATGGTGTAGCGGGTGTCACAATACAAGGAACATTTATTTTACTCAATGCGTCTCCATTGTCATTTTCAAAATAGACATGATGCTTTAATAATAATGGACTGTCTGGTGGACTGGACTGATCGTATTGTGTTACAAGCGGAATCGAAGCGGTTGCTGATTTGGTTAGACGTTGTGTGTTTGGATGAAAGGCTGAGCTGCTGGGCCGGGGTGAGACTGGCCGATTTTGATGATGTTCGTGTGCTAGGGAGGGATGTTCATGTGCATGATGATGGTGATTGTGAAAATGTGCAAAGTATTGATTGTTCGATTCATTTATTGGTACTAAGATTTTATTTTGTGTCGTATAACCGGCAGAAAGCTTTCGCACATGTGCTTGTGGAGCACGAAGGTATGAGGATGGTAAATTATGGAACGGTCGACTTTGTGCTTTTGGTGCTAAATTCGAAGCTCTTGACGCAGCAAGTTTATCAATGTGATCTTTCAATCCTTGCTGCAGTAAAGCTTTGTTTTTAACATTTTGAGCTGCTTGATTTTTCCTTTTTTGCCTTGAGGCCAACGACGCACCCCCAGCTGCAGCGTACATTTTTACTTAAAACCACTTATCCCTTTAACCTTTTCTAAACTGTATGACATTCATTTAACTACAAAAAGAAAGCTATCGTAGCGGGCACTCCAAAAAACGTCAAACGATCTTAAATAAATTCAAGTTAACGAATCAACAATTGCATTCAGTAAGCAAAAAAGTCTTCACTAAACGGAACACATAACAGTGAATGTATGCCTTTTAATATCAAACATTCATAAGAACTAGTATATAACTAGGCCAAGGGATTTTGTATTTTCATTGACCACAGCACACTTGCAGCTCTATTGACGGTTATTTCGATTATATACTCTTGATAATATTATCTTTTCTCATAAGTCTACCAATGAATAAATGAACACTTTTTCATATGATATATGCCAAAATGAAAAGTGTCACCTGACTTATTTTAAGGTAAATTTAGCTGGTAATCAAACGATAATACCCAAACTATCACTAGTTTTATGAATGAAAATAATTCGTAAATCTATTCACTGCAATCATGCAAAAACACGTTGTAGAATAAGCTGATAATTTCTTTGTAATGATTTACTAAGAGCATTCGGTTTTGGTTTACTTATTAACGCATATTGAAATTGAATTTTGCAGCAAATTTCGAAACACGGAAAAGTGTTTTATTGGTTTATAACTTGTGCTTTAGGATTTCATAGAAGACATCATCACAGAAATCTTTCGAAACACTAAGACATTCAAAGTTATGAGTATTTAGTCAATTTTAACCTTGAAGTTTCCTCTAAAAACTTCAAATATGAGGATTTATGTAGTGAACATTTGTATATATGATTGATAAGATTTCAACATATTCATATCAGTAAATCGATCAATTTTTAACTTGCAGATTATGAGTTCATAATGAATGATGTAAAGCATATAATCTTGTTATTATTCCTTAAAATAAATTCCTTTGATGGCTAAACAATTAAATCGCTGAGAAATACGACTACTCATAATTTAAATTAACGTTAAATTAATTTCAATCAATTCATTCATAATCAACATGCAATAAATGTTTTTTTTCTCAAAAAGCTAAGTTTCTTCTAAATATGTGTTGCTGAAACGTGAACTTTCTAAAATTCACCATTTTGAATCGTTCAAATGATATTTTCATATCTAATTGCATAAATAAAACGTAGTATAATGGAGTGTGATGATGTGATGTGATGTGATGTGATGTAGTGTGATGTGTATCAAGGTATGTATACAAGGTGCACATATAATAGGAAAAAGTGGGAGAGTTTTGATACAGGAAGTTTGACGTGTTTCATTTTAATTTAATTTAAATCTGTTTCCGACGTTACAGCTGAAATAAAAGTAAATTCCTTACATGATTAGATTTATTGAGGAATAATCTGTCATACTCTTGCTGTGATACATAATAGCAACAAAAGGTGAACGTGAAGGTGTATAAAAATTTAAGCATTTTTACAGAATTGTTGAGTTTTATTACAAGTGGAAAAAGAATGGATTTTTTCTAGAGAAAAGCAATAGAATTTTGTATAGCTTGAGATATTCAAATATGAGTTGCGTTTTTCTAAGTTGAATCTATTGAACGGTGCTTAACGGTAACATTTTCCTCATTTCTTCTGTTTCGTTTATGAGTTTGAAATACGTTTTTTTTTCTCTACTCAAGAAAAGCAAACAAAATTCCTATAGGAACCTATAGGTATCGTTATAGATCATGTTTTATGATTTCAGAACAGTGTATTATTCAAAGTGTATTTAATAATGAAATCAATGGATAATCATTTCTCTATACACTATTACAGGGACACTCAATTTATTATGTCCGATGAAAAATACCCTATTTACGGGTACAAGTGTGCCTGTTAGTTTCCTGGCAAACATACCAATAAAAACCAGATGAATATTATTGAATATGTGCAAAACCAACACTAACATTCTGATCAATAAAATGATAAGCACCGTATTAAAATATACACCACACCCAAGCATGGACTATTTGAAATGGTTCTCTCTTATATAATTACGTCATTTATTCACTCGAATAATTTCTACTAACACGATATTGTGTTCAGAGCTTCTCTTTTCCGTACTTTACTTCGTCTACAATGACCAAAATGCCGAATCTAAAATGGCTTGATTGCTTAAGATTAGATAGGCAGAAATATTTGAATGGAATTCTGTTTGTATATGTTTGAGGAGTTGAGAATAGCTTAAAGGTATTCTCAGTTTATTTTCTTCATTATTTAGTATTCATTAAATGTATGGACTGAATGCTTTGTTATTGTGTATTGTATTGACAATGTGGAAAAATCTATGCAATATGTGTTGTGATCAAATATTTAGTAATTAGTTTGAAAGAGTTTTTCTAAAAAAAAATTTACCACATTTCACCCTATATGTATACACTAGAACTGTATGGATAAGGTGAAATACAAATAGAAAAGAAATACTCGCACGAAAACTCCATGAAAACCAATGTCTGTGAACATTTGAAAAAAATAACATGTGTACATGGCAATCCTTCATACAACAGGTTTGATCCAGTTAAGTAGTTGAAATATTTATGTAATGTATGCAACATTCACATTTTCAGTCGATTGAAACCTATGTGGAATCACGTGACGTGAAATAGGATGAAAATGCAATTGCTATAATATTTCCGTAAATTTCAGTGAACTTAATTTATGAATATCATGCATTTGTTTTCTTTAGTCATAGTTAATTCAAGGTTTGTTGCAAAATGGTAATTCTTGCCAAAAGTCGACGAAAAAAAAAATGTTTGGAACAAAATTCAAATATGAGACAAAATTTGATATGATTTAAAATTGGTTGGATAAGTTTACAAAAACATTCGAATGGTATTCCCAAACTGCAGTAGATCATTTTCGGTTGAACTTGTATAGAAACGTCTTTATTCCATAATTAGAAAGATAAACGACATCATGGGCAGGCCACGTACACTCATTTGTTGTGATGAGCTATCTAAAGTAATTATAAACCAAACTTTGCTCAAATAATGCTCTCATTATTTTAGATTTAGCATTTTCAAATCACTGAATTATGCACCACACGGAAAAAAAAATTTATGCACTTAATTAGCCCGATCCTGGTTAAAACTATTGGAAATTTGATTATAATATTTCTGTGTTAAACTGCGAATAATCATAATTTTATCGATACGATAGAAAAACATTATCACTGTATATACTGTTTAACTTTTTAAAATGAAAAAAAAATGGATTGAAATCTAGCAACACATTGTGGAACTGTCCGCGAATATATCCGAAAAAATACTGCCACTAAATAATAGCATCCACCTTGAAGGTGAGTGAATTTCACTCTCTAACTAATACACCTTGCATTTGTGTTGATGGAGAATTCAGAATATGGCGCTATTCAATCCACCCCAATTTTGATTTAGTTTGTGTTTGTAGGTATGGTATAGTTTAATACATATGTATATTTTTTTGTAGTATGTATATATAAAGTTTCCGTTTTGCGACCATTCCATACATACTATAGCATAGAAAATGATTTTACGATAAACACGGTCAGAATTCCAAACAAAAGAGCCCATGTGTTTTAGCTTAAATCGTAGCACATGTTTCTTTGCATACACGGTAAAAAGTATATTCACGAAGACTTGTCTTGGTCTTGATGTGAATTTCGAATAAATTTACCACTTTACAGAGGTTAGAAAAATTACACCTTGATTTCATGTCGACGACGGGCAAATTTTTGCCCTTTGCGTTAAATGTCAACAAAAATATAATTTCCATTCACCTTTGATTTGCTAAAAGTATGAAACAGTTTAATTTTCTTTTATTTGAGATTTTTCTAAAGCATTCAAAAATTCATACCTTATTTCAAAATGTTCATTTGATAATCTCAAGAAGTTTTTCTTTCATATAGATTGACTGTTTTCAGTCATGAAATATCGATTCTAATTTCAGCAGCTAGCACACTTTACAAATAGTGAATCAATCTCTTGAATACTTAAAAATGTATCAATGTTTTTATGTTGTAGCAATATTTATCGAAAAGTTGTGCGTGAATTATGATCCCATTGAAATTCATTTGTTTTGTGCTTTTTATCTATGAGAATCACTTTCAAAAAAAGCTACGATGTAAATTTAGAGCATTCAACATATATTCACTGAACATCCATATATGCTGTTATTTGATAAGAAACGAGCATTTGTTTTCAAACGTGTTGACCTGTTGGAGAGATGAAAACAAAAATTGATGAAATAACTTGTCATGTTTATGGTATTCATATGACAGATCGCAAAGTTCAAGATATCAATATGAAAACATTATCAACTTATATAAAAGACATCGTGAATCTGTTACTGAAATGAATCTAAATGTTCTGTTACTGTCATTCAGACGTGACAAATAATAAACATACAACAGTGGTTATCAGCTTTAAACTTGAATATGATTAGAATCAGAAATGAAGAGAACAAATGTATAATTTCTATATAATATGTTTTTTTTTCCCGGAAAATGTATTGATTTAAAAAACACGGGAGTAAAGGTAAAAGGTAAAAATAAATGAGAAATCATATGTTTTTCTATGGAATATCACATATTTTGATACATCAACAAAGAAATACCGGCCATAAATTCTGATTGAAATGATGATTATTGTTGAGGATTTCCACATTCTAATTCATTATTTCTATATCAGCTTTTGAACATACTTCTACATACTTTTGAAAGCTTAAGACTTTCCTAACAAAATATTTGTTTTTTTATTTTCTTAGATAATAGTGCGCACAAGCAAAAAGTGCATTTACGAAGACTTACGTATACTCAATATTGGGGTGTTATTCCAATTTCGAGCAAAGATGTTAAGTTGCTACGATTTTTTTTTGCACAATTTCTGTTAGCTAGAGTCAATTATTCAACCATTACAACACGCAAACTTGAATCTTTTTTCATATGAAAACACAAACGAAGCGCTATTGCTATAGGTTTCAGCTGTTCATTTTTATGTATTAATTCTCCGGAAATGCACTTGAATTAAAATTCATAATAGCCTCGGATTACATTCAAAAAAAATTATTTCAACCCTTAGAATCGAAAGTCTTCATTCTACTCCCCTGGGTTCGGGCAGCACTTACCTTTTTCTTGGATTCCTTGTTTTAATCAATCAAAACTGCGTTTACTCCGAATGGTTTTTGCATTGCAAATTCTATGTTAAACGCACAGTTTATTGCTTTCAATGAAATCCTTTGATTCCACTGCGAATATTCACTGAATTTTTCTCAACTATTCTTCTCTTCAGGAATGTATTAAAAAAGTGGAAATTCGACTTCGGTTCACTTACACACACCCTTACTTATTTGCAAAAAAAAAGTAATGAAATAATGTCGAAACTTGCTACTGATTGAAGCTCAAAATTGGAAGCATTGACACTGCTGTGTCGAGTACGAAACCAAATCGACGAATTCATTTCACTATAGACTGTGTCTATTGTGATACAATTATGTAGGTGGATGTCGCGTGCGAGGGTGTTTCAGACATAAATGGGAAGTGTGCTCGCATACATACAAACACGCATAGACATCACGCATACACGCGAAACTTCCTTTGGTTATCACATTATTGTATGAGTCTGATTCATTGATTCTGTGTTATTCCATACATATTCAATAGAACTGTGCATGTTATTTATGAGCATGAGTGGAATGTGCAGATTTGTTAATTTCCGAATATGTTGGATTTACGAAGAAATAAAACTGATTTTTTTTCTATGAAAATGTAATAAGAATGTGTCGTTCAATAGATTTGCATTTCATGAAAACCAACATGTAAAATTCATGGAAAATGAAGATGCTTCTAAGACTCAAAATACCATTACCTCCTCAATACCATTTTGCACTGCGCTGAATTTCTGCGCTGAAGTTGTAATTTGGATGCTTATATATGTCAATATATTTCTCGTTGTGAACACCGTTTGAATCAGCTGTGTAATCATTGTTTTCTTCGCATTTCTTAAGCTTTCATATTGTTATACAAACAGAAGACACGAAAAGCATGAGATATTTAAACATTTTATTTTTTTTCTACTATTGTTCGGATACATTCGCCATATTTAGGCCAATAGTTGGTTTTTAGGAAAGAAACATCTTCGCTAATTTGATCTTTTAAGTTTCGCTTCACTTTCGCTCGATTTTTCAGACTTGTTTTTCAGCGATGCATCTTCTTCCAACTCAAGGTTTGTACTGGTTTTAACTGCACTGCTTCGTCTTTCAGCTAGATGTTCCGCTATTCCGTCAGCAACAGACACTTTACCGCTACAACCACAACTGGTGTCTTCAAGAGATAAAAAAACCGTTTCATCTGATTGGATGGAGCGTTTTTGAATTTTCGAAATGAAATCGGTTATCTTCGGACGTGGTGTTGTCGTTTGGTCGTCGTCTAACTCCGGCTTTTTTGTGTATTTCAACACGTGCTCGTGCAATCTTCCTACAATTACTCCAGCAGCACCAGTTAAAAGGCTTGTTGGCATAAGAACGTGTTGGTGTTTGTCATCAAATGCCTTTGTGTCAAAGAGCCATTGCCTAGTCAGAAAAATGTCACTAAATAACTCAAAATTCAATGCACAGACCACAGCACGTATGATAATACTCACTTTGAATTTTGTGGGGAGCATTTGGCTGCTTGAAAAGCAACTAACACCAATATTATACTTATTGTTGCTGTCATTTTCGCTACCTTTTCACAACTGAACACTTCGGTGCTGAAATCTTCTTTTTATAACTGAGCACAACTGAATATGTGCACAGTTCTTTGGGTTCAAGAAGTGAAACGTGATTTTCAATTGGATTTTTTTGTCACAAAAATGCGCATTTATTCATGTTTATTTTGCATTACAATTTCAAAACATTAGCTATACTATATCAATTTATACGTGTTCACTGTTAACGAGAAGAATGCGTTTGGAATTTTAGACATCTTTTCGGCACTCATCACCGCTACACAAGACGATCGGATCCAACTCGTCTGCATCAACAAAATCCTTATAGTTTTGTTGGACATCGTCCATATCATGGTGGAAGTATGCATATTTGTGTTCCACGATGAGTTCCTGGTTCATGACAACTGTGGGCGGAGGTATATCTTCACAATCTTCGTTCAAATCAGAATCTATTGACATTGCACTAGAAGTTTCAATGCTGGAAAGAAATACCAGGTTATGAAGAAAAATCTGAGTTGCTCACAATATTACATTACTTACACGTGTGCATATGAAGTTTGGAGAGCCACTGCAGAAGATTGAGTGAAGATGTTATTCAGAACGTGTAACATTAATATTACTTTCAGCATGGTGAACATCTTTACCTTATTGCAACTGAATATCTATTCTTGCTAGCTTTTATAGAAATCGGATCGTCATTGAGCTAATATCTAACGTTTTATCATATCACTTTTACAGGCCACCACAGCATATTTTCTTCAGAAATGATATAATTTAAAATAAGCAGAAATGATAATTACTTACGTGATAAATTTATGTCACTACAAAAAGCAGAAGACCAAACAAAACAAAACAAACCAAAACAAACCAAACACACGTTTAACGATAACATTGGTCTTTCTTATGAGCAAACGTGATTTTTCCCAGATTTCGCATGTATTTGTTTGACTAGTCAATAGATGGCAGTAGTTTGTAAGTAGAGTGACGTTTTACACTTCTTGACGTTTGCATTTTTAGCGGTCGTAGTTCAGTTGAAAAACGTAATCCAAAATACAACAGAAATTTCGTTGCAGTTCACAAGAAGAAGAGAAACAAAAATGGAAAAATTTACGAGTAAACGGCGCACAAAGCCCACCGAAGTTTGTCAGTATGATAAAAATTGTTACCGCAAAAATCCGCATCATTTTATGGAATACCGGCACGAACATCTCGAAAAAATAATGGAACAAAGCCCAGCAAATCAATACGTGATTCCGAATGAAATGTTGGCGCACAAAGATTGTATTTTAGATCAGATCAAAATTATCACCGAGCTCTTCTCGCCTGAGGATAAAGGAGAGCCGTCTGCTAAAAAGAATAAACAAGCTGAACAAAACATCAAAATGCCGAAGGTGTCAACGTCTGTTGAAAATGCTAGCAACAAATCGAGCAATCAATCTGCGTCCGCATCATCATCGTCGTCGTCGACATCGCAAAAAGTCTGTGCGCCAAAAGATATTCACAAATACGTCAAAGTCGTTGCACCCAAAGGAAAGATGGCCGGAAAACTTGAAAAATCTCGACCATTCAATTTTTTTCTCACTTGCATTTCATCGTCGCCACCAACACACAACGAACCGCTATCTATCACTTTTCAGGAAATTCTGGACAAATCGCTCGGTGAGCTTGAGTGTTCAGTGCAAATAAATTTCATGGTTGACATCGGTTGGTTGGTAAGTTTTGGCATATGTTTATTGTTATTTCCAATACAATTTTCATACAAATTATGACCTTTGAATAGAATTTAAAATATTGTAAATTGTCTTCTCTGCCGAACAGTTGGGCCAATATTATTTTGCCGGCTGTTTAGATTTGCCGTTGTTGATTTTGTATGGTAGTGGAGGAGCCTCACCCGAAATTGAAACAATATCACAGAAGAAGCCACAAGTGTCCGCTCATCTCATGCGAATGCCCCATGCGTTTGCCACACATCACACCAAAATGATGTTGTTAGGCTACAAAGATCGTTCCATGCGCGTAGTAGTATCAACGGCGAATTTGTATGAAGACGATTGGGACAACCGAACACAAGGTTTATATTTCAACTCAATCAGTATACAGTCTGTCTGTATCCGCTGTGTTCATTGACCTCAACCTCAAATTTCTTTTTCAGGTTTATGGATATCTGACAAATTGGAAGCGATGCCCGAGGGAAGTGATACAGCCAGCGGCGAAAGCGCAACTGAATTTCGGAATGAACTTCTGAAATATTTATCAGCATACAAACTTCCACAGTTACAACCATGGCTTGTGCGAATTCGGAAAACTGATTTTTCCGCGGTAAGTGACTATTCATACATTGATGTCAAATCATTTTATGTGGATCAGCATTTTTGACACAGGTTTCATTTCGTATCAATTGTAGGTTAATGTTTTCCTCATTACATCAATCCCCGGCACTTACACAGAAACCGGCAATGGATATCCCCATGGTCATGGACGTGTTGCATGGCTATTGTCAAAGCATTCAGCACCTATAAATGAAAATTCGCCAATTATTGCTCAGAGTTCATCGCTTGGTAGTTTTGGTGCAAGCGCAGACGGTTGGCTCACCGGCGAATTCGTGAATAGTTTCCGGCGTGACACACAACCCATGGGATTACGGAAATTGCCCAGTATTCGTGTTATTTACCCATCGTTTAACAATGTTGCAAATGGCCACGACGGTCTACTAAGTGGCGGATGTCTGCCATACGGTGACAAAATACACCAGAAGCAGACTTGGTTGAATGATTTTTTGTATCAATGGCGCGCCGATTGTCGTCACCGATCGAAAGCAATGCCACACATAAAAACGTACACCCGATGGTCAGAGAAGAAGATGTTTTGGTTCCTGTTATCTTCAGCAAATTTGTCAAAAGCGGCATGGGGATCATTGTCAAAATCCAAAACTACTCCCACATTACGAATCAGCAACTTTGAAGCAGGCGTATTATTCCTGCCAAAATTCGTATCAAATATGCGCTACTTTTCGATGGATGAATCTGATCAAAGTACGCCACTGTTTCCGCCACTTTATGACATTCCCCTGACCAAATATGCCGTGGATGACAATCCTTTTTTGAGTGATATTTTGTTTACCGAAACTGACAATGTCGGTGGAACGATGTGACATGTGGCTCAAGAAGTTCTATCAAAATCCATACATAACCAACATGACATTACAAATGCTATATAGCTCAGTTGGCCCATAGTGCATATTCCATGGACTAGGTGCGCCACCAGCGCAAACAAATGTCAAAGTATATGATTTATACACAACAAATTGTTGATATACATCTGAATAAAAAAAAATACTTTTTTTCAACTTAGTTTCGTTTATTGAATAAATCGTAATTTATTTCGACAGTTAAAAAGCTTTTATTTATTTTTTTAAAAAGGTGTTCATGTGTACGCTGTGAAGAAAAATGTACGATCTCTAATTTATACCGTTACCAATTTCAAAATCACTTAACGTTTGCAGCTGAGATTCATGAAAGTTAAAGTCCGAAACCATAATAAATCGCATATGCCCTTGCGCTTAACGATCAAATTGTTCATTCTGCCATTCATTGAAAATCAATCCATCTAAATTCGATCGAAAAAATTTCTTTATATTAAATCGAAATTCAATGATTGATTGGAAACACAGTAGATGATCAATGAATTAGGGAATCTAACAATGCATTTGCATTTGACAAGAAGAAGTATGCATTGAATTCGTTAACTCAATTCGATTGCTCAAGAGACATTTCCAAAAAAATGTTTCTGCTCTTATGGACATACAACATTTCCATGATTTCAATTTGTTTTCACGAGAGTTATACAATTTAATGAATGTTATGCGTTTCGAAACTTAAATTTCATTTTCTCATTTGCGATCATCGAGTGTATGTGTTCGTTTTAAATCTAACCCCTTGGCTTTTATGTAAGCTTCTTTGGCGGCAAAATATGCAGCGGCCCTCTTCTGCCCATACGACTGTAAAGATATCCAGAACAAATGCATCAAAAGTTATTAAAAAATGACATAAAAAGGCATCCCATGACTTATTCCACTCACCCAATAACCGAACTCAATGTCTTGATGGACATTCACAAACGACCATAGAGTCCAGAATAAATGTGACGCCATTGTAAAGCACAAGACTTCATTTTTGAGCTCGTCAATTTCTGCCGTGCTCGGCGAATAATCGGGCTTCGATGACAACTCCATCAAGTAAGCCTTCAAAAATCGTTCCTAATTCAAAAGAGAAACATTTATTGGAACCATAACAAAAATACTACAATTGTATAATTGTGTACAATTTCAATAACGACGCCTATATTTTCATGGATGTATGCGTTGTATTACCTGTTGTTCTTTGTTCGGATACTGCTCGCTTACGTAGGAGAAAAACGGGTACTCCTTGATCGTATAATCAATCATCCATTCAATAAAGTGATTGGCTAAATCGAATCCACGATAATTATAGGCACAGTATTCGAAATCGATGATCATTAGTTCTGGCTCGTTATTTGCTTCAGCTGAGAACTGTGATTGATCGCTGAGTAGCGAGTCACGTGTATTATCCAAATCTTCATCCGGGCAGTCACTTAATGAACGTTTTCTTAGAAGAAAGGGTAAACCAAATATTGTTATCAATTAAAATTCTTTATCAAATCAATGAAAAATTTAACTAAAACGGTTTTTTCTTTAATAAATAGAGTGCAGCGACAAAGGTTGGATTTACGGAACCTGCTCTCATCGTTGTTAGTCCCCAAACCTCAATCAATCAATCCTCTACGGAATAAGTGTGATACGATCAAAAGCACCAAATCACAACATTTTTGAAGCAAGCAGATAAAAGAACTTAAGCTTACCTCGAATGCATTTTGTTGATTGAATTTAAATTTCCGTTGAAGCTATCGTGTCTATCAAAGTGACCGTCTAATATAGTTGTGTCATCGAAAAATGAACTGAAATTGAGAGAGAGAGAGAAAAATGTTTGCAATTCAATTCATTGAACTTGTATTCGGAGAGTTAAAAAGTAATTAAAATGCACTTAACCGCATGCGGCTCTGTCTTAGGTTGTTGGTTTTGTGTGAATTTTAATGTTTGTAGTTTTTATGAAATATGAAGTGAATATTTTTTGGTTTTGCGTTTGCTTTTAAGAACGGAAAAAGTTGTAATTTTTTTGGCATTCCATTCAGTGTGGAAAAAGACATGTTTTTTCTCTCTCGTTAAATCGATTTTCCGAACTATTCTCAATATCTAATCCGAACAATCGAGCAAAGCATATGATTTGTGTAACATGAGCTTTTAGAATTTTCAAACATGAACAACGGCAACTACAACACAATAGACAGACAGAAGACTGGATAGAACAAGCAGTCTTGTCTCCAGACAAAGCATTCGTCTTCTCGGAGAGATCAAGATTTGCAAACAAGTATATTTTAAATATTAACTGAAAATGAGGAGCATTATGTGAGTAAACGAATATACTCTCGAAATTCGAGAAATTCATTGGAATTATGAAATATGTTTTAAATGTAATTTTTACCTGAGCTGTTCAGTGGAGCTACTGGGTGATGATGATAGCCCATATGTTTGCTCTCTCAATAAGATATTTCCCTCTTGAAGGTCGTTATGACAAAACACCACTGGAAACCCTTGATTTTCTACCGTTGCCTTTAGCCACGTCAATTCACTTTTAAAATCAATTTTACGCACTTCGTCCAATATTTCCAATTCAGATGTATTTTTTGTCTTGTAATTTTTCAGGACTTGCTCGAAATTTAAAAGCCATCGATCCATCGTAATCCAAAGCCAATCTGGTTCCTTTGAGACGGGTATACTAAGGCCATGAATTTTTGCCATCTTTTCTGCTACTTTACAAGATATTTTGGCATCACACAGTTCATGAGTTGCCAATGGTCGGGCCTACACATGTAAAAACATTTGAAAACTTATCGACATACACTAATATTATCGAAAAACTAAATCCAATTGTAATTTTGTTTGTCAATATAATCATTTGTGGTGTACAGGCGTGCACACATATCCATGCATACTATGCATTGCATAGGCTAATTTACTTCGAACAATATTGCCATTATTTTTATTGATTTTCTTTCAAGGTTGAAAAATTCATGTGAACGAAAATAATGATAGGTTGTGCTAATAATAACCGTAAGGCACAATCGAATTTAACCATACATTTCTGCCTACTACTTACTGGGATATATTGTTCGATTCTGCCACCGGGGAAAATTCCATGTAGCTTTGGTCCAAGCTTTCGTTCACTCAGCAACGTAAAGACCACGGTATCAGTGAGAACAGTTTCTAGGGCCTGTTCGCCATGAGTGCGACCGTAAATTCTCAACAAAACCTTTTGAATACCGAAAATTTTACCAAAAGAAAAGAAATTTAGAACACGAATTTCATTTATGCCATGATTTAGACAGAAAAATATACTTCTTTTGGTTCTTGGAGTGATGCATCCTTTCTTGGGCGTTTAATATTCTTCACATTATTGCAGGAATCGGAATCATCTGGTAAACTAACATAGTACAAGAAATTCGAAAGACCACCGCTAAAACATATAAATCAATTATAATCAACTGGCTTAACTTCAAAATATTCAGAACAGAATAAGACCAACCTAATACGTTTGATATGTAAATCAGAGGCTGAAATCGTCTTCCAGGCACCTGTCAAATAGTCACGACAAATTCGTGATGCCAACTCTCGCATTTCGCTTGAGTTTTTCGAAGCCTGTTTGGATCAAATATAAAAATTAATTTCAAATTTTTAATAACAATCAGCATGCGATAGTAATAACGAAATATGGTGCAACTATGAACCGAAATGAGATCATCAGTCTTTTCGTGTACGTATGTATGTATGCTCGAATTAATTCCATGCAAACAAAGATGAAATCGTTGCTACCTTATGCTTCAACGTTGATGAAACGGATTGTGTTTTTTATTGAATGGTGCAACAGTCCTAAGAGAGTTTTTGTTTTTATGCTCACGACTCGTGCCTAATTATTAGCAAATTCGTTCTTTTTTTAATTCAATATTCGGTGCTCTTATTGGACTGGTCGATAAATGTCATGTAACGTGAAACTACTTGAGAGTGCAAATGCAAATACGATTCACATTGGAATTTTGCAATGGGCATGCGCAGCATAAATAGTGTGAAAGTTAACCTTCTTTTCGTGAACATTGAAAAGTAGGAGGTGTTGTCAGCAAATTCATCCAGTGGACTAATTGAACATGTACGACGTGAAGAGCATTCAACCGGTGTCTGATATGTCATACAGTTTTTGATATTTGAGAAATAGTATAGCATGATCTTGTTATTTACGCAAATATCCCATATGTGGTGAATAGTAAATTGAGTTCACTCCTTTAATTAAAAATGATTAACCGAATTAAGCTAAATACCGTTTTAATTGTATAACTTGAACGTTCTATTCATTGCTGTTTCAAAGGAAAAGTGTATTCCATTTGTAAATTCAAAACACAAAATTCCATAATCAATTGAAACAATGGAAAATTTTCAGTTCAGAAACACATCCGATCGATGTGCAATGTTGTGGTTAACCAAAAAAAATCTATTCGATTCAATCACTCATTTTTGAACCAGAATTACAACTTAGCCTATTAGTCATATACTATTTACAACTATATCTCTTGCAGTTTTATTCTTTTGAATATACAACCAAGAAATTGCCATTTTTATTATTTCGCAATAATCTTTCAGCTACACTCTGAAAATCGTACTACAGATTGCGTATTGGAAATCTCACACTTGAACATGGGCACCTATTTTTAAACTAGAATAAAAATTGGGTTGTATGTAAATCAGTTTACAGTTAAAACGTTCGTAAACGTTAGACGAAAAGTGTCGTAAATAAATCTAGTGACTCATAGTGTGTTTCATGCGTAAAAACATGGTGTCGTCACAATAAAAACACAGGGATATGATATTCATATGGAACGCATATCAACATTTTATTGTTCAATACATTTGCAAAGTGTTCATGACGATTCAGCTGTAATGAAAACATGCATACAAATTTCTGGTAATATCTATTTATTCGGCAAAAGAGAAGGATTTTCTGCTGTTCCGATCTAAATTGCCAAATGTATTATCGTCTCTTTTTCCAAAATATCTATTCCCAGTTCCCCGCCCCTCGAGGAATATATTTGTCATAAATTGCTTGATGTTATGAAACAATGTCGCTACGACGCAATAATATTTATGCACAATAATAACTAATACGAGATAAGAAAATTCAAAAACCATTTCTCCGACAAGTACTATGTTCCTGAATGAATGAGTAGCCTTCCATTTTGAAAACAACAATTTTATCCTAAAACTACAATTTCCTATTATTTCTGACTGAAAATCTCAATTTACGCGTTGATTATTGTTTATTACGGTGTAAGTCACACGTGTGAATTTTTGAAAAAAAAGTTTTTGTCATCAGCTCGTTAAATTTTGATTTATCTAATCACCAGAAAATCTGTAGTCGCATTTTTCAATTGTTCGGTACAGTTTCTTATCGTTTATCAACCATATTCTACGGAAATGTGAATTTTATCATGCATCATGCTGCAAAAATGTCATTTATTGGCATTCCACTTGTAAAATCAGTGCAATTTAACTTATTAGTAGAATAGGAAAGGCAGATCTTTCATTTTGTGCAAAACACGATCGGAAATGAATAAACTGGGGATGCCAATTAAAGTTCGTCAATGTGCAGGTAAATATCGAAATAAATCTTTACCCATAATTCAATCTCTGCCAAAGATTGCGCGTACTTATTGAATCGGTCTTTACTCTAAATAAGGCGTAGTACACATTATGCCAATAAAAATGGAAAAATAAACATTAACCAAGAAAAAAACAAAAACAAAAAACAAAACTAATAAGAAAATCTGGTCAAACGAAATTCCTTTCCATTAAAAAAAATCACCTGATGATTCGGGTGTTATTATCAAATTGATTGGTTTTTAGCTAAATTATTGGCTTAACAATTCCAAACGAACTGATAATAAGAGGCCAAAGAAACGTTACCCTTTAAATGTACTTTATAGGCATGTATTGTTTAATTGACGAAAACAAATGAAACATACACTCATCAGAGTTGACCTTAAATAATTACAATTTAAGGAATTCGTAGACATTTTTCGCATTGTTTATCGGTATATAATGAGACAATATTGAATCAGATTGAATGAGTATTATTTTTTGCGTTTTTACACACAACAATATCCTCAATTACACACGGTAATGTGGACTGCAAAATGAGACACCTTTTTTTCTTTATAATAAATATACATGAGTGGAGATATTGGACATTAAGCAAGTATCATGACCGGTAAGAAAATATCATACGACTGTAAACCAAGTTTTGTGTATTTGTAAAACGTATTCCACAGTCAGTTGCCAATCAGGTTGAAGATGTTTTCGATCATCAATGTGGCGTATGAACTCATTTATTTCAACAGAATTCCGTACTATATCTTATCGGGAGATGAGGTTGTTTTTAATCAGACAACTTTTTCGTATGTGTGATATTGTGACGGAAATTACGCATTTGATCATATTCGATACAAACTGGAACTATCATTTTGTCCACTAAACAAAAGCACACGGAAAAAAGCAAAGGAATTGCATTATTCAGAATTTGTTTGCGCATTTTTGCTACAAAAATAACAATGTATACGAAACCAAATACATACTTGGCTACGAATTAAGACGAAATTATACGATTAAGTCTTTACTTATGTTCTATTTAATTTAAGGCACAGAAAAATATCGAATGTCTATTCTCTTTATTGTCTCCTGTTATGGATACAAATTTCATATATGCGCTAGGAAGATTAAAAAAGAGCACGAAACGTTTTTTAAAAATTTTGTTGTATTGTTTACGAATCATTCATGCAAATAATTGACGGCGAATACAGAACGATAAATAAAGAGAAGCTATTTACTCAAATTTAAAAAAAATTCCATAACTTTCGATTGGAAAATTTCTTTATATATTTTCATTTACATAACCATCATTATCACGTATTTGTATAGTCTACGAGACAATTGGAATTGCTTGTGTGAAACCATTTAAAGGTTCATTTTAATAATTAGCTTATAATGACTGTTTTTTGTTGACGAATACATTCAAAGTCAGAGCTTGTAATTTAATCATAAGAGATGATCGTACCTTTATCATTGATGACATGATGCACACCAGCTGGTTCAAATGTGATGTTGAATATGTTAAAACACGGAAATGTTTAAAAAAAAAGAAAGAAAAAGAAAACGTGTCACAGAGTAGGGAAATATAGTTACTTATTGGAAACACTTTATGTTTTATAGCCTTTTGTTTCAATTATCACAAAAATTAATTAAACCGCAATTTTAATCTGTTTCAAGCGCAGAAATAAACTTCTGATACTGTACTTTGTACTGTCCACACAATGAAGTACTACTATTCATGCGTTATATTTTTTAACAAAAGGAATTAAGTTTTTCTTCTCCAGTTTTTGGTATCTCTTCTTGATTTATTCGAATGAAAAATAAATGAGTGTTTTCTATTTCCTGCCGCTTTTCCTATTTTTTTATCGTATATTTTACAACAATCTGTATGTCAATGCTACGTGCAAAAAACTTGGCATGCGGTTATAGATTACAGCTATCCGAGTAGTTTGCCTTTTCTGTCTGTTCTTCGCTTTCTGACTGATCTCAAATAAGTTTAGCTAATACGGTTTGCATGTATATCATTTGATATTTGGTGTTGTTGCTCTGCAGTGACAAGTGAACTTGCATGAAAGTTTATTGTACAAATGTATCAGGAGTGAAAATTTCAAAACGTCTGCCTCATTCGAAAGCTAAGTTTAAACTGACGAATGCACAGCACCACTATCTGGAAAATCGTATGATTTCTTTACAAATGAGTATTTGAATGACGTCCGCCGCCTTGCGGAGAGTACGATAATCATAAGAAATGACAGATAAGGCCTATTCCTTTGTTCATATTTCGATTTTAAAAAAATGTTCTGCACCTAATGATAAGAGCTGTTGGTGTATTATTATAAATATTAATGAATGGTTCACGATTCATCTCTCACGTAGACAACAATTTGTGCATTTGAAAGATAAATCGTCGTGCAAAACCAATACTAAAATTTTTGAATTTCTGTGTAGATCTTTTTTTTTCTTTATTTCTTTGATCATTTGAGAGAAACTTGTAATGACTAATGGAAAAAACCAGATCGAGTGAATTTAATTTATCTTTTATTAATATACATATACAATAATAGATTTATGTAAGCCTAAAAATTCTGTGTGATTTTTTTTTAAAAATTAAATATCGTTCGAATACAGTACAATATTTCAATTGATTAGACCGAAAATGTATCATACATAAACTGCGAGCTGAAACTATGCTTATGAAAAAATTACGATGTGCATCGTTTCATAATTTACTGTTGACACATTTTCACTCTGACCAACACCATTGTAGTTTCATTTAGTTCTTCCATTCTCAAAATCTACCTTCGGACGTGATAGAAAAACCGTCCAATCAGTTAGAAATAGTTGGCTTCCCACAATATGTGGCAACAAAGACTGTTGCATGATTATTTGAGGTGTGTTCGCAACTTTCAAAAAAAAAAGTGTTTGTGTTTACTTGCATACAATACAACAACTCAACACTAAGCTTCATCAAAAATCGAATTTAACAATGAATCTTGAAATATCTAAATAAACTTTTCAAATAATTAGTCGCCCGAATCGAAGATATCCAATTCGACATACACCAACAATGTGTTACCCAAGAAACTCCAAAATTGCCACAAATAAAAACCAAATGATCGTTAGTTGCATCATTGTCATTTAAAATGAATGTAAATTGCACACGCAAACTTTCTTTTCAAGTCATAATATTTCGTTATTTCTTTTTTTTGTGTCATAGGGGTAGTTTTTTTCTCCACTTTGTTATTAGTCATATTTTCGTCAAAGTTGACGTATCTACGAGAATACATCTGTATTTCTATAATTAAATGTATTGTTGTGTACTTTTGAAATGATGCAGACAAAAACTTCACAATGTATTTCACACAATTACAAAATAAATTGAATCATTCGAGTTTTCAAATGTAGAATTTGAAAGTTTATATTGTAGATATTTGTATATATATACTAAACTCAATAAACAAAAAAAGAAATTCTGCATAGTTTATTAATAATAGACATTTGTTGTATATCTTCGTATAAATTTCGCACGTGATTTTAAGTGTTAGATTTGTAAGTTTTATGTGTTGAATTGATTTTGTTTCAAATAATTTAGCTGAATTTTTTTTCCATTATCATCATATTGCTGTGTGACGCTTCCTCTCATTGTGTGTAAACAAGTAAATTCTAGCGTAAATACAACGATTCATTTAGGTATTTCAATATAGCCCACAACAGGTGTGCAACGTATCTTAGATATTTTTTTTTGTTTTGTTTTATCATTTATATTTCATTCAGTGTTAATGTGATTTCATATATATTTTAATTGATACATTCAGCTTTCTTGGGCAAGTCTTTTTGAGTGAAACCAGGTGGTAGTGGAATTGTGTATTTATCGAAATTATTTGAAAAGCCATTAGATATATTATGGTTCATAAATAGATTGTTTTGACTTTGATCTGTATTAAGCCAGCTTGAATGGTTGAAGTTCACCTAAAAAGAGATTTAAATGGTATTAAAATGCAAGGGGAAAATCGAATCTTTATCTAAAATGCAAAGGTTTTGTCTTGACGATCCAGATGTTAATTGTATTCGTTATTTGTATGAAAATACACTTACCTGCTGTTGTTGCTGGCCCATAATACCACTTTGTAAATTGAGACCGTGTGGAGCTCCATACGATGATTGCATTATATTGTTACGATTGGAAAACTCGTTCGATTTAAGTTTGCTGGTGTCAAATTTGTCGAATTGTCCATTGATCTGTTGTTGTGCCATGTGAGGCGGTGAAATGAACATGTCATTTTGAGATTGCGGCGGCCCAGACATAAAAGACTGATATGGGCGGAATGATACGATAGCTGGATCCATTAAACTCCAATCCGGGGTGTTGCCGAAATCTGAATAATCAAAAACAATAGAATTAGCCATAGCAAAACAGTTTGTCATGATAACAACCCGTAGAGATCACGATTGAAATACGTACTCTTGTTGGTCTGATGTCCTGACTTGGATAACAAATTGCTCATCTGATCGTGAACGCCATAGTTCAAATTCTGTTGCCCACCATGATGCGGCCAGTTGTGTGACTGCTGTGGCTGTGATGCATTACCACTGTTGTTCATGAAGGGTAAGATTTTACTAGTTTGCGTTGCTGCACGTGGCACGCCCAATCCAAATGCATTCATATGCGAAAACCCTGGAGGAGGTAAGCGACAACGTTGGGCCGAATTATCTAGCATCTTATTTTGTTGGTTTGATTGTTGTTCATTTTCCATCAACTCCGCTAGACCTTTTTGTGTCTCAAAGAATGGATCGAAATCTGTGAATGAAAATACAATTTTGATTGGTCATTCTTTTTCGAATGCAAAAAGCAAAAAACATATCCTACCTAATTCATCGTCAATAGAACTACTTTGTGTTGAAAGTTGCTGTTGTTGCAATTGCTGATGTTGTTGCTGCTGCTGCTGTTGCTGCTGCTGTTGTTGTTGTTGTTGTTGTTGTTGTTGGAAAAAGTTTTGTAAACGACTATTTTGAGAGTTATTACTCGTGTGAAACAGATTCAAGTTGTTCAAACATTGCGGTTGAACTTGAGGTGTGCTCAGTCCCAATTGAGTATTTACCAAACGCTGTTTTTGGAGTTGACTACCAAGCAAATCTACAATTACAAGTGAAACCAATAAAATTTCCAAATTCTCTATTCTTCTATCTTGTACAACAGCCACTTACTGTTAGATGAATTTTGTTGATCCAAAAACTGTGAGTTAAGCCGCCTTGCGTCCATAAGTCGTGATTGGTCCATCAAATTGGACACATTCATTTGGTCAGACATGAATAGTGGTTGCTGCTGCTGTTGCTGCGGTGGAGCAAACTGTTGCTGTTGCTGCTGCTGTTGATTCTTATGGAAATCGAAGAACTTAGACAAACTGTTTGCGTATACTTGGTGATTGAGGGAGTCTGTCGGATGTAAACTGTTTTGTAGCTGCTGCTGTTGTGTTCTCTGATTATGTAGATTCTGTGTTTGCTGTGTTAGTTGATTGAAACGGCTCTGTTCGCTTCCTCCGCCGAAGAAATCCAGTGTGCTATCTTCTGGAAAAATAAAATAAAGGCATACAAAACTTTGCATTTATATATTGAAAAGGGAAAATGAATTGCATTTGTGAACTACCTATGAGACCGCCTGAATTTAAGCCCAACCCATTCATCATAGTACGACGTTTTTGAAGTTCCGCCAATCCACCGAAACCATTTTGCAAATTATTTGGACTATAGTCGCTGAGACCTTTAAGAAGATTAAGTTTTTCGTGTAAATCTTGACGTTCTTTGTCCGATTCTGTGCCACTGAGTAGGTCTGGCAATTGTGGCGAATTTGTTTGATTGCTTGAATCCAAACTTCGTAGCTGTGATGTTTGTGATGATTCCAGTTTGAAGAAAGGCGAAGGTTGAAATGTGTTTGACGAGAAGAAGCTGTTATTATCGTCAAACAATCCCAATTTTGAGAAACGTGCCGTTGTATCAATTACATTACTGCTCATGCTACTTGTCAACGGATGACAGTTTGTATTGATCTCAGCATTGCTAACAGATGTTCCAAAGTTTTCAAACGAATTTTTCTCTAAATTGGTTTTATTCTGTTGCTTGTCGACATCTTGCTGTGTCGAATGATTAGTCTCTGTTGCATGATCTGAAAAGTTTGCTGGCGAACTCTTTCCACTGACACTATCACTGATCGTTCCACTATCACCACTAGTTGATAAACTGTGAACCAAGTGTAAATAGTATTTCAGCACATGTTTAGAATATATATAGAATGGGCGTTATATGAAAATACCTGAGTGATGGTGTGTCGGCTTTGCCATCCAAGTCATTTGAAGATGCATCATTCTCAATCTCAGACAGTAGATTTAACTCTTCATCAGCACTCATCGTTTGTTTTGGTGGTTCTCCAGACGCACTATCTTTGGTTACATTGAATCCCGAATCTTTTGTATTTGTTGCTGTTCCATTGCTGTCTTTGCTGTTCATGCTCGTAATGCTGCTTGTACTGTTTGCATTTGTGCCATTCGAACTGTTACTACTAATGGAGTTAGTTGACGATTTCTTATTCTTCGTTTTTTCAGCTTTTGTTTTTTTTCCGCCGTTCTCCTTATTATTGCTGCCTTTACTAGTTTTTCCAGCGTCTTTATTGATTGGCGAAATGGATAGACTTGGCCATGCTTCTTTTGTTTTTTCCGGGCCGTTTTGTGTTGCATTTTCTGTTGTTTGTTTATTACTCTCGCTAAGTTTTCCATTCGGAGAGTTATTATTGTTGTTGTTGATGTTGTTGGTGGTGTTTGCTGCATTATTGGCCGCTGCCGTTTGGGCGATGAGTGCATCGTGCAATCGTTTTTCATATTCCTGATGCTTGCCTTGGTGCATCTCTTCCTTTGTGAAGCTGGCTTCCAGATCACCCAATTCATGCAGATACATGCAGTCCGGTTTTGGACATTGTTGATTCTTCATGAAGTGGCTGCAATACTTCGTTGTGCCCAAGCTAGTTTTTATAAGTCGTCCATCAATCATGATGTTATTAACGCTTTGGATTGCACGCAAAGCATCATTGTTCGAACAATATGTAACGTATGCCGATGCAGACGGACCCTGAACACCTGCATACGTTGTGCTGGGGTTTATCACAACTTTATGAATTTTACCATACTTCCCAAAATACTCGTGCTTCTTTAGAATCTGAATGTAAGAAGTATAATTGTCAGAATTTATTATTGTACACTATGCTCGCTAAACTTACTTCAGCATCTGCCAGCCTTGGTGGTAAGCCAACAACAAATACCAAGTTCTTTTGCACCACTCGCACATTCGCCAAATGCTTACGGTTTTCCGAGATTTTCTGCTTTCGCTGTTGATCTCGTTGCCGCTTCTCTGCCTTCAATGCCGAAATCTGCACAAATAAAACCAAAACCAAGTAGTTCATTCATCTACAGGCTTTATACCTTTTTTTTGTACAACCAGATTTACCTGCTCTTGAGATAACGGCTTGAAGTCAGCTGGATTTTCGGGATAGGCTTTGCGGCATGCAGGACACAATTCGTTTTCATCCGTTCGAATTCGGTGCCAGCAGAATCGGCAGATTTGGTAGCCACACGTGCATGGATAGAAGTTGAGATCATCCACTTCCAAGGGCTCCATACACAAGGGACATTCCACCACATCATCATTGCTATTGTTTAATACGCTCATCTTGATTGCAAAAGTAGTTAACACGATGAAAATGAAACTAAACTGTCACTGCAAGGTTAACTACAGATTTAATGTCGTTTCTTCGAGAGTGTTTTACTTAACAGCCGTTGATGCTGTTAGTTTGTTCAAATGGATTAGCGTTTCGTCCGGATCTAATGAATACTTTCCTGAGAAAATATTCAAACGGTTCAACAAACAGGTGGCAAATAAATCGAATGTGTACTCCGATTTGGATCCGGTATTTGTTATACAGAATCAATAAAGACGACTTGCGTGGAGCTAGAATGAAATTCTGAAAAAATCGAAGAAATGTCAAAAACTTAACTTACATTTAGTTTTTTGAGAAAATCAATCGGTAAAAATAATATAAATCACAAATAAATAAATGTAGACATGTAATACAACGCTTTCAATGGGTTGGAAAATTGTTGGCGTATAAGGAAAATTGGCGTCTATACGAGTGTGATAGAAGCAGTTCATCGTCCATACAATCTGTATGAACTTTTTTAAATGATCAATTAATGTTAGTATGATATGATATGAAAAAAATGGTAATTAATCAATTAATTCGTTTGAATAGAGTAATACATAAACTGAAATAACGCTAAAAATAGCTTGACAAATTTTATCGTCCATTGAGTTCATAAGTCTAAAAAAATTGTGTTCAAGTTGAAAAAATGTAATGCATTTTACAATTGGAGTATATTCAAATTGGAAATTCTGCTAAAAATTCGATTTGGAAGCTAATTAGTAGTGAATTGTAAAATCTCGATAATTGCTATACGCACTGTATAGTTGAAAACAATTTCAAAAGAAAGAAAAATCGATTGCGACGCACTCGTAAACGAATTATGTACACAACTTTTACTCATTCACACACTCAAAATACATCAACAGATGTGGAAGATTTTCATATATATATAAAATAGTATGTGTTATGGCGATTGAATTTAATTTTTGCTTTGTTGGATTGAATATATGATGAATTTCACATAAAATCTATTGGTTCGTATGTAAATGCATATCGCAATAGTAAAGTGCTTTTACTACAATATATTTGGCGTTAATAGAACAACTACATCGTTGCATTGAACAATCGAAGTTTGAGCAAAACATTACGTTTTGTCAGGTTTAATATACAAGAAAGAATCGTCTATTTAATTTTACACATTTTCTTGTTACGGAAAAAAATACACACTTACGCCAGAATCATGAACGTCAACAGTAATTTAGATTATTTCTTATTTTGCGAATTGTTGAATTCTGATTCGATTCAATGTTTTCCAAGAAATTTATAGTTTTCATGAAGCGACGAAAATGAAAAAGTTACGTGTTCATTTTGATTGCTTTGTTTTTTCCGCATACAGATGCACACGGTGCGTTCACATCATACATTCGTACGTAAACCAGTTTAAATCGAAAAAGTATATTTTTCGACGCATACATCCAAACGAATCAAGTACAAACGTCAATACGTAAGAAAACGTAGAAAAGACATCAATGGAATTTTTTTTCGCAGGTTTATGTTTTCAATCTCTTTTCTTTGCACAAATTGCTCTAGAATTTTCCCTGTGAGCAAATTTAGCCAAGATTTATTTGTGGTTGATTCTTTTTTTTCACCATTCACTATGTTTTCTAATTCTTGAGGTTTTCAACCAAGATTGATGTAGCATCATAGTTCACATGTAGGTGTTGAATAGATGAATACAAATGCTTGTCCTCCCTTGGACAATCAATATACATGAGCAATTCGAAATAAAATTTCTAAATATTTACGTTTGAGTAATAGCCGTCTGAGAAAAACATACACCGATAGCATTTGAATTTCGAAAAAAAATCCATAATCTCAGACGCACTACTATTGGCTGTTGAAATAAATGACGCTCTTGTAAAAGTAACAAATCAATGAATAATGCTTCGAACACACATAAACAAAAAAGTAATACAAGCACGCGGTGGATTTTAATGGATTTGTATCTGTACGGACAAAAATTGTACATTCACTTTGACTTTTACTCAGAGCTTGTTTGCAACGGCACAGTGTTTCAGTATAGCGAATATCATTGATATTTTTTTTTTAAATAATCGCCAAATTTACTTTAGCTAATCAGAATTGGTTGCACAATATTGTCATTTCAATATTTTGCGCAGCCCATCTTCTTTAATCAATGCACAGAATTCAAATTAGAAAATTTGCAATGTAAAAACTTCGACAAAAATAGACTCATTAAATAGTAGTTGATTTGTTTGTCTAATTTATTTACACACACATGGTTCATTATTAAATTTTGTAATAAATTATGTTTTTTTATATATTTTCACATCACCATCTTTCTGATATTTTTCGGGGAATTAGTAAACCGAAACGCACCTAAAATATTTTATCTGCTAACTGTCCTATCGTTATATCAGTTCATTTGAGTATGCTAGAACTCATGTTGAATTTACAATTCATATGTGATTCGCACGATTATTGAACAAAATCCATTGAAACATACTCTTTTCGAATGCCCACATAATATTTAAATACATATGCAATGAATACATATAAAAAAGCACACTATGATCTCTTGTACTGTTGTGCACCGTTTTTTTTTCTTCTTTTCTTTTCTTTTTTGTATTTTCCACTCAGTTATTCACAGCAAATGAACAATATATATGTATACAATATATATATGTATATATAAATATTTCTCGAACGAATTACTACGTAAGAAAATATTTTATACTCTATAAATGCGAAGTGCTGCCTTTGGATGTTCATATAGTTTATAATGGTGTACGCGATTTGCGTTAGTATGTTCCCCGCAAAATAGTTTGAATAAATATTGTCTGTATGCATTCATTTTTTTTTTGTAAAGAAAAAAATGATTGTTCACACTGCTGAGAGAATATACGAAAATTTTGCGATGTGTTGCATTCAATATTTTAAACAATAGCAGCCTCCACACATTTTTTTTTCCAATACAAAAGCAGCAAGACTTTTAAGACATACAAAAATACACTATCGTATTGGACAACATTGTGAATCACACATAAGGACACATACACGTACACAAAACGCAGGAAAATTCATACGAAATGGCGAAGAAAAAAGGCAGACAGACAATTTTCTAGAATATGATTCATTGAATCGAAGAAGAAAACACTTTAATCCATTCTTCTTTAAATCCAATCGATTCATTTGTATTTGACTGCTCGAAAACTTATAACCACTCTATATTTTTTAGATTTTCTTTCCGTTTCTTTTTCTTTCTTTCAGTTTTTCACCCAAACAAAATCTCTTTTCGCAATTTTAGCTATGCGACGTCGATGGGTCATGATAATAATTACCTGATGATAAATATTATACTTTTTTTAAGAGTTATTGATCGAAATTATATGGAAACTTTTAGACAATATTCAATAAATTTATTTATTATAGTAATTTTGGAATTAAAGACGGCAGATGAGCTCACGAAAATCGAATTTATACGATTGTAAGTATTACTTTGTGTGTTAGATGTGACACAATAAATTACACAGTGAAATAGTTAGTCGACCGGATATTTCTTATTTCGACTATTGTTGAATTTTACGAAAAAAAAAGATGACGCCATTTTGTTTTATTGTTAATGCTGTCGTTTTATGCGATGTTTGCTGATAACTTCACTTCCAATGTTGTTCGAATCGAAATAGAACGAAAAACTGAAAAAACAGGCAATTTTATCGTTTTTTCATTTTATTCCTTTACTTTCTCTTCGAAATGTGAAGAATGTAATATTTCATGATATTTTGCAATTTAAAAAAAAAAACAATGTGGTACAATTATTTTTCTACTCGTTTCAATACATAAATATTTTCGATGTTATTTTGACATTCGAACTGTCAACAAAAGAGACATTCGACTGCTAGGAACTACTAAAAAAATCAGATGTGCACGATTTGAAAAAAAACAACACTGAATCGATTTAAAAGTTGTAGCGAATATATTTATAAATTTTTAAAATGTTTATGCGGCGTCTTTTCAACCTTGGCCGTCAGCTTGCACCGTTAAATATATCAAGTGCAGTTCAAAGTAATATGAAATTCTTTTTGAAAGAAAAATCAAAGGAAAATATCAGCTGAAACCTAACCTAATTTTGTTTGAACCATGTAGATTTTTCAGTTGTGCAGAAGAATACACTTTTTCAAAGTGCAAACAAAGTGGAATTTCTGAAAAAGCCAATCGTCGAAAAAAACGCATGTCAATCTGTCATCAGCAATGTCAACAATCTTGTTAATCGGCAGGAAGAAGGACGCCTATTTGCAGTGGTGCACCTATGTGGAAAACAATACAAAGTAACTGCGGGTGATATTGTTGTTATAGAGGGATATTGGGCTCCAACGATTGGAGATAACATTCGTTTGGAAAAGGTACTACTATTTTGCAAAATAAACTCATAAAGTGACAATTTGCTTATTTGTTTGGTGTTTTGTAGGTACTACTAGTTGGCGGTGATAGTTTCACACTTACTGGCCGACCTTTGGTGCAACCGAATATTGTAGATGTACAAGCCACTGTTGTTGAAAAAACCATAGCGCACACGAGGACCACATTCAAGAAGAAACGAAGAAAGCAATATATGCGAATCAAATTCCATCGATCTGCTCAATCAATGATTCGCATAAATTCGATTACAATCAATCCTCAAATTGATATTAATTCCACGAAATCAAATCTTTTGCAGGAATAAGGAATAGAATTTAAAAGGGAAAGGAAAGGAAACAAAGGAAATAAAACTAATTTAGTCAAAAATGTGATTTTGCTTTAATTTTCGCAGGCGGTGATGTTATTTATTCAATAGATATTTTATCAGAATTTCTCAAATTAGTTTCAACAAATTATTAGGCAAGTAAATGGATCCCGTTTCAGTTCATTGACCTCAATTTGTGCAACGGAAAAGAACGCTTAAAGAGGATAATTCAATCATAAATTGGAGAACATTCAATGAAATGCTCTCTCTTCAGCAAGATACAAAGACAGGGGGTAGTAAAATGTCATTAGTCGTTTTTAGTCGTCTGTATTATTGATGTCTTCGGACCAGGTGTTTATTTATTTCAATCGTATATATGAATTGTCTTTTTGGTTTCATTGTTCTCGTCGTACACTATGTTAACGTTTGTTTGTCAGTTTTTGTTGTTCGTTTGTCTTTCTGCATAAATTTCTGGAGTTTTGATCCATTAAAAGGGGCTTCGGATCCGGGGGGATAGAGTCTCATCTAGAAAAACAAAACGTAAAAGTCAGATATAAATACGTGCATAATATAACGGTTTTATCCAGTCATGGTCTGAACGAAAATCCTTTCACATGTGAGATGTCTTGTAAGATATACTATAAAGTATGTGCGATGGGTGAGTTAATTAATGTCAGTGGTTACTTCCAATTTCGTTCGAGTTAAAGGCTAGAATTGGTCAGAGTGGAGTTGTGTATGAAGTGTACAAAACATAACAGTAAACGGTAAGTAAATTTAGGGTTTTTTAGTAAGAGAATTTTGATTTAGAAAAAAACTGTAAACTTTATTATAAAATACATAAAATGTATCGAGAACATGAAGTTAATAGGCCAAATATCAGAAAAAAACTGTAAACCAGAAACAATTTTTTCCGATTTTTTTCTCTTTTGAATCAGTTTATTTAGATCAATGCAATTTTTGCTGGAGATTTAGTGTGCTAATTGTGTAAATCAATAAAAAGAGAATGTCAGCGTGATGAAATGGGAACATCGGTGTTATTTAAAATTTCCTCCTCCTTCGAGAATCTCTTCTGCAATTAATAAATAGAAAAAACCGATCTTAAAAAATAAACATATTAGCGGATATGTATGGTGTACTCTTGGTGCGTCTTCCTTCCGAAAATCGTTCGATTGTGTTCAACACAAATATTCTCTTACCACAGATTTGGAACATAAATTGTAATTACGAGTTTCCGTATATACTTGCCATTATTCGGTATTTTTCTTTACACGCGTAGTCAGATTCATCGACATCCTTATAGCAATCAGGCTCATACTCATCCTCATCTGGAAGATTTCCTTCGAATTCGCAAAGCTTATGAATGGGGCGAGCTCTATGTCGAATGATTTTTATAAGTTTTGTGAAGAAAAGTCAAGCAAATAATTTTTCATAGTTTCCTGATGAAATATATGGCCTGCATCTTACCTCACTATAATCTTATCTGTACCCGTCGGTTTGTTTGGAATACAGTAGAATACATCGGGAGTGTCTTTATCAAAAACTATTGCTTTTCTGGTTAAATCTTTGCCATTCACTTTGATCGTTCGATCATACTTTTTGCCTTTGGACTTCGATTTACTTATGTCAGCGTTTACAAGACTCATGACGACCAAAAATATCGTCACATATGTGACAAGTGCATGCACTGGCTTCATCTCGAATTGATCTGAATAGAACCAATGAAAATGTTCAAATTCATAATGGAATATTTTTCTATAGTTTTCAAAATTATTCATGTTATTCCTCAGTTGTGCTTTCAAAACGTATGTATACAATAGTGTACTGGATGATAATTAAAAGTAAATGATGGGAAAATAAACAAACGTAATGAAACTCTTCAATGCTGCATTTTGTTTTCATTATCTCAAGTTGTTCACAAACGAGTTTTCAGAAATATTTTTCACAGTGAAAACAATGTTACTCAAATATTTGCATAAATTACAATGTTCGGTAAACATAACAACTACGACTTCATTAGTTTGATGAAGAAAATTTAATTCTGTTGAATGTGAACGAAAAATAAACTAAAAACTATCTTTATTTCACTAGAAACAGTTTCAAGTCAATACAATTTTTGAGGTTGCAAAAGTGCAAAGGCGTTTTTGCATTACTAAACTGATCACCTTATAAGATTCACACTTTTGGTCATGACAAATGGCTGCTTGAAAAAATAAATCATACTATACATCTTTTACGCTTTTTACACTGTATGAATATGTACTTGAAATCGCATTTATGTTTTTTATGTTATTACGATATGGTTTTTAATTCTAATTTAAAAACTTACACTTTTATTTGAAACTAAAATCGATCAACGCCACGGTGATTACTATTCTAGTAAAATGTAGTTTACACAATTGAATAATACGTAGGTGAGTCAGATATTCGCAACTTCTTTAAGATGACTGATGGGTCACCAACAAAATTAAATAGTTTCATCTGTAGACGAAGTGTGTAGAAGAGAGAAATGGGAAAAAATGCTACGCTTCGCTATTTGGTTTGTATGTATGTTTGTATGCATGCTCATTGCTCACCTGTAAAATATAAAGTTGTATTTGTCTGCGTGCTTTATCTCACAGGTATGCGAATATCTCAAAACTGAAGTCAGTTCAGTTTCTATCCCCTCCTGTTTGTTTTTAGCATCGGTTTCTCTAGTAGTAGAGAATATTAATGCTGTTTTTCAGAGATGTTTTATTATGCGTAGCATTGAATTTCGAAAACAAAGGTTTGAATGAAAGCTTGTAGGTAATTTTTTTGCCAACGGTAAAATAAACGGTAAGCGTGAAAGATTTCAATGCATGATAGGCATGATAATGGATAGCTGGATATGCAAAGATCATAAATACTTACTGCGTGCACAAAACTGAAAATTGAATTTTACTGGAATGTAGGTCATAGGTTCGGCTCTTTATATCCGAAAGAAGCTTCAAATAAAACAAAAACCAACGTAGCATTAAATGGAACCTCTGAATAGAAACGTAAAATTGTTTCTATTTAGAAATTTATTATTTACTTTTCACTTTTACACATAAAATCGTTCACATTACTGATGACTCTTGAAGAATTTGAATTCTACTTTCCATTGTTGCATAAACATTCATGTAGATGAAGCGGAACCGATCAGTCAATTAATTGATTGAAACATCAATTGGAGTCAGTGGGTGAAACAATAACTGCCATCGGTGGGTGCTGGCAATGAAATTCTTATTTACGAACAGGTGATTTTGACTAATATATTGTGCTGATTTTGGGGTGCTGTTCATTAGACATTTTCTGGTCACACTACACATTTGTTGCTCTTCTTCAAAATCACATGCATAAATATTGAGTGGAAAATTAAATAAAATCGTGATAGAACGGAATCTCAAATAGGACTACTGCGAGTTTTATAATTTGATATTTTTTTCTATTCAATATGTTATCATACACTTAGATAAATGAAAATTGTATGGTGATTAAATTATTATGTTTACAGTATAAATAATTTCAATACGTCATAAGTCGGGAAACCTGGAAAGAGTGAAGAGAGAAAAAAGGAAAGGTAGGTAAATGACATCGAAACCAAATCTACATCTGATAATATTAAAATAATAATTACCGCATGCTGTCTTCAGTATATTCATTGGGAATTTCAAACAAATCTGGCGATATGTTATCACGAAATTCGAACTTTTGAAAAGTGATTTTCGCTGAGACGGTTGGTAAGATCGGTATGTCAATTTTCACAGGAAAACCGCTTGGTAATTTCAATGTAACGAATTCACGAAGCTTTGTAAAGTGTTTGAATGGCGCGATTACTTCTAACACATTAAGCAACATTTCCACAGTTAATGGGAAATCTTTACTCTGAAAAGCAACAAACAATTGAAAAATTTTCATGCCCAAATGCAGGTATGTCGTAGCTGCGATCGCACATAATGCTATTTGAAATTAGATAAAATAGAGAATTCTATTTACCATTGCTACTGTTGCACGAAATGTCTTACTAGTTTCCTTATAAATGATTTGCCTTCCAAGATTGGGATATTCGCCAGGCTCTGAATTGATATACTCATCCCAAGTGATTCCATTTTCCTCCGGCGGTGTAAGCGATTCACGGCGTACAATCTGGTGGACAAATGTTATGCATCGTGATTACTACTACCATATCAAAAAAAGAAGTTTTTGATCAGGCTTTTTTCGTTACCAATACCTCTCCGTTTTGATCTAAACTCGGTGCATGATGGCCGCCCTTCAACGATTCCATAATGGCTTTGTTCTTTTGTAAATCATCACGTGATAGATGCTCGCGTCGTTTCCGTGATTCCAACACTAATCCATTGATTGAATACAATTCACAATCGTATTGACCAGCAACCAATTCTTTTCTATCTTCTCGAAAAATCCAACCACTTTGAGCTCTAACGAAGTTAATGCTCTTTGTTGACATTTGAGCCGCAAGTATATCACTGGACATTAATATGTCCACTTCATCCTCAATTTCAGTATCAGTCTCTTCGTATCGAACTCGTTGATAGCAATGATATTCATTATCTAAAACGGTTAGTGACTCGCGTGGATTATTATCACCGCGAAATATAAAGGATATGTCACCGCGTTCCCAACGCATGTCGGAAAAATCAACGAGAGTTGTATCCAAACGAATTGAAGAACCACTTTTATGAATTTTGCATATGTCTTCGTAGGAAGAAAAATAATTCATTTTCTTATTATTGTAATAAATGTCATAATAAACAAAAGCGTATTCAACGCATACCTGATGGCAGAATTCGTGACACTAACGGCACTATAAGAGGAGAAAAATATATTTGTAATATTATCTTAAAGATGAATTTTTCCTTCCATCATCACATATGACTATCTTACCCCATGACTGAAAATCCCATTTTAATTCCATATAAAAGTCTCCCATTTGCTTTAATGCTTTCACTAAATTCGGTCTTCTTTCTTCGATTTGCTCTTTGGCTTGTTGCTTTAATTTCTTCAACAATGAACAAACTGGAACAAAAGTAATTGTTCGTCGGTGTTTATAATATCAAATTTGTATTCAAACACAAATAATCTCACTTGTTTGTCGATCCCCATAGCTAATCGCTTCGGCTAGAGGGGACCATCCGTTCACATTCTTAACTTTCACAGGAGCACCATGAGCCAATAGAAGATGTGTACACACTATAAATGCACATCGTATATTTATATCATCAGTCACTTCCATTATCAAAATATATTCAATATGTGGCAACAAATGTAAACAAATCGAATAGGCAAAATCTATGTATCGATTTTTTTTGGTCCTATACTATTTTTATACACGTTATGTATATTCCCACAGAAAGCTTGGGCCATATCTGTATTTATATACATACCTTTGCGGCCGAGCATTACAGATAAATGTAGTGCTGTATTTCCTGTAATATTAAGTATGTGATGATAAATGATATAATAAACAATAATTTTATGATATTATTTATGAATATATCACGAATAAAACCGTGAAAGATTGATTCCGAATAATTAAATCTTTAATAACAAATAGGCTTATCAAAATACGATTGATTTTTATAAATAAATATGGAAAAATTATGTTTTTACCGTGTTTATCCTTTTGGGCAACATTATTTGTACGAATCAATTGGTTTAGCTTACGAAAATCGTCCTCAAAAATACATTTATGCAGAGAACAATCAATTGGATTATCTTCTTCTGTGTCTGCCATTTTTATGGATACTACCAGTCCTTAAACACAAAATTGAAATTCAAACAAAAAATGCAAAGCGACACCAAAAAAAGAAGCAAAAAAGTGGTATTTCAGTAGTGAATTTTGTGAACTGTCAAATATATAATTCTTCTCGACGCTATTTTTTATGCTACTGCATAAATGTCATTTACAATAGAATGAAAAACATAACCTCATTTTACCATAGAAATAGACCCATTTGTTTATCAAAGTTTTAGCAATAGTTGAACTTGTTATTTTATTCGTTTTGTTTTGACAATCATATTAAATTGGTCTTAAATTCAATTCAGTACATGTATTGGAAACAGTAAATTGTAATTATGCTTGAAAGTTCCTAGTTTTCAGGTTGCGCAGTATATCCAACAGCATTAACTGCTTGCAAGTCAACGTCACCGTCGTTTGATCGCAGACGGTCGCGGATAATTTCAGCTATTGCGCGCTGGGTTCGACGATCAAGTATTTCCAATTTTTTCGCCACATCTCTTTTTAAGTCCCAATCAGGTTTTCTTGGTGCGAGGTTTTGTATATCGATTTCTTCGATGACTATAGGTGTTTTCAATGTATGAACTTCGCTTGTAATCTGTGATATCACATCGTCATTCTTTAACGCTGTTTGACTGTGTTCTGCATCTTCGTTTGGCTGATCTGTTACGTTTTTCGTCAATTGTGTCGGTAATGGCAAATTCACTTTCTCTGCGTCGCTGTTGAATGTATTCGTTGATGCCGTCTGATCCTTTGTTTCTGCTTTACGTTTCAAATTTCTCAATCGTTCTTTTCGCTTCAATGCTTGTTCTTCCAATGATCCAATTGGTATTTCAAACTCAGACATTTTTTTCAGTGTTTTGTAACAAATATGTTAATTGTACCTTTTGAAATACGTTAAAAAACGTTAGAATAATCAATCAAAAGAAGTAATACTAGTTACGAGGTACTGACTGTTTGGTAATGGATACAAATGCCGTATTTTGACGTTCGATGAAAATTAAGTGCTGATCGGTCAACACTGAAAGACTATTCAATGTATTGGAAAAGCCTATTGTTTTAATTTGAATACAGTAATCGCAACCTCAAGAGTTCTGTTTATTTCCATGAAATTTGAATACATTTTCCAATGATTTGAACACGAAATTAGAAAAATACATTATCAGATTTTATATGCTTTTCCCCGGATGATTGGACGGTAATGTCAATGTTCGAAGAATTGTTGAAATTGAATTCAGAATGAAGTGCTGTTGTCGTTCCAATTCTTCGATTCCTAATCTGGCTTCTGACAGTTCGCTGTTGGCCACCTCGATATTCTTTTCGTGATAGGATACTGTCCTAAAATTCCCAATAAATTTTAATGCGTTTTATTCATGCGAAGATTATTCTATTTGCTCGAAAAAGGCTTTGAGAAATCACCTGACTAATTCATCACTTATAGCGTTGGAATCGACTTGAATTTTATCGGTATGTGCCTCAATTTGTTTGGTTTTTGACAAAATCTCATCCGTATTTTCCATTAAAGCTTTCAGATTGATTTTCAACTCTTTGATACGCTGTTCTTCTTGCTTAATTTCCTTCATGGTCAAATCGAGGTTCGAATTAACCGATCTATAACATTTGTATTGATTAGTGGTCATGAACGAGACTGCAGAAATTCAAAATAAAGTGTGCTTACATGAACTCATCGTAATGAGCTATTTGGTGTACTTTCAATGCCTTGTTAACAATTTCTAATGTTAGCGTGAGTTCTTTAATTTTGGCACTAGATACAACGTTCGATGTTCGAACATGTTCGGCAACCTCACGCAATTCATTCAACTCTTGCTTCAGAGCCTCAATCGCATTTAGCCGTGTTTTATACTCCTCCTCACTAACGACGGTTTCACTTAGTTCAGTTTGTTTGATTTCAACTTTTATGATTGTTGAATCAAAATTCTTGTTGTCTGCATTCTTCTGTGTGATCTCCTTATCCAGCATCTGTAGATCGGCTAGACAATTGTTCACTCGTTCCTGTAGTTGTGGTAACTTTTTCTCATACTCGCCCAATTGAAGTTCCATCTGAAATGGGATGTCTTTTATTTTGACAACTAAATTAAATTGAATTGCGTCGACGGTGAACTCACATTCGCTGCGCGTTTTTTTGCCGTTTCATTCTTGACTTGAAGTGCGTTATTCGTTGCCAATGCCTCGTTATATGAACTCAAAGCATCGTGTGCCTTCTCATATACTGTTTCTTTCACCATTTTATAGTATTTCACGTAGTTGAACAACATTTTCAATACGTGGGAACTCTTTTTCGGATCTGTACAAATATTTAAAAGAGAAAAATGGCATCATTGTTTGCATAACAAATGTGATTGTAACCTAACAAGATCTTACTTGGATTAATCAAATCTAAGTAGTAAAAGTTATGTGCCTCATCAGACAACTGGTATAAGCGTTGAACGAACCCACAAAATGTAATGAAATATAAACGTTCTGAATCATGGTTGTTCATTGCTTCAATTCGAGCAGATTCAATGTTGATATTCAAACTACGCAAAAGTGACTCAAGTGCACTATAGAAGAACTGGAAATTTGGCCGTCGCACACTGCTTTCGTCAATTTTAAAATCCAACAATCCGTTCCATTGTGAAATGAACTCCGCTTCTTTACTTGACATTTTTGAATAAATTAAAATATTTGTGATCGACCTTAGAAATATGCTTTATTTTATTTGGTTCGTTCGTTTGTGTTTGTTGGAAGAAAAATCGGTTGACTTCTGTTTAAAACTAAACCAGTGTTACCAACATAAATATATGACATGTCATTCGAAGTCGAATATACTTCGCCAGTATTGTTTAGTACGGGCGAAATACAAACATCTCCATGTTAAAGAAGCGGTTGTGTTTTTGTTTCACTTTGAATATAAATTCTTTATAGTAGGGAAAAAACAATGGGGATTGTATGATTACATCACACACATTTTTTTTTCTATGCATTTTGGTGTATTGTATATCATTTATTTTCCGATGCATTTCTTCCAAAGTGGTGCCAACATGACAGTTGGAAATTTTTAAATTCGGGTATTCGAAACATAAATACTTATGACGGTAGAATCGAAAAGTTTCTGCATATTCTTTTCGTATTTATGAATTAACTACTGAATTTATTTATTCTGAATATTCTTATGCAATTTTTGAAGAAAAAAAAAATTAAAATCCAAAAGAATGATATAAATAGTTGACCGAATCGTTTTGAATATGTTTTAAACACACGGCGAAACGTTGATTATGGCGAATTCATCGGTTTTCTTTCGGTTTTTTCTACCGCTTGTCAAATGTATGACGCTGTTTTCAACTGTTTGAATTTTGTACCGCATCAAAACGACCATATTCGTATAGCAAACTTTGGTGGCAAACATTGACATAGACCTCTTGCTGGAAAAGAGAATTGTTCTTTTAAAATCAATCCGTTTCTTTTTACAATTTTTTGGCATTATTACTCACAATTGAACGATTTGTTCTTGTTGTGTTGTGTTCGAATTAGTTGTTGTCCATTACTTCAGTGTGCACTTGTTAATTGTCTTGACAAAGAAAACCCGATAAGCAGTGGAACGAAATTGAAATGGACAGTGAACATATGTAAGTTTTTCATTATAACGATGTTTTTAAAAAAAAAATTATTCAACTGTTAACTATTCATGTTTTGTTATGATTTTATCCAAAGTTCTAGTGTATGAAATGATACTTTTCATTGTATTATTATCCATTTATAGATCTCGTTTACGTGAAGAAATGAATGCAACGACGCATGATTTTCTCACTGAATTTACGCCAAAACTTGACAAACTCTTCCACAAAGAGCTTAGCTCCGTTTATTTGGATCGAATGAACGAACACTTGCAAACTTTTTACAATGACGTACTGGCTGAACTGGAAAATAAACAAGCTGACATGACCACAAGAATTGATGGTATGTGTAACAAAGCTGAAAATTTGCGGTAATTATCTAATCTATGTATTACATTGCAGAGCTACTCAAAGAGGCTCTGGAATTGAAACGCAAGCTGAACGTCGATTTTGAATTTGACTTGGACCGTAGCGATGATATGCCGTTAATGGTGTACCAGGAAAAACTTGATTCCGATTTAAATGAAATGCGTGAAAAATATCGCCAAAAGATGAATCAGATTGATGAATGTCTGAAGACGCAACAGCTGCTTTGTGAAGAGCTCAACGAAAGTCTTCGAGAATTATCTGTTGATCCGTTGGCTGGCGATGCGGAGATTTATGACTTCGAGAAATATTTGCTCGATTTGAAAAGTGAACGGGCACGCCGTCTCAATGAAATCGAATGTGTTCAACATGAGATTCAGGCGTTATGCGAGGAAATGGGCATGGAAATTGGCAATCTAAATCAAACAATGTAAGAAATTCAACATTTAGACTAGGAAAAGCAAAGTAATGATCAAATGTTGTGTACATATTTTTTGCAGGCCTTTGCCCACAAAGGAAAACATAGCATATTTGCAAAGTGAACGTGACCGTTATCAGAAACAGAAGGACGAAATCAAACACGAGTGTGAAAAACTATTGGAGAAGCTAGAAATGCTTTGGGATTGTTTGCAAGCACCGAAATCGGTTCGGTCAAAGTTTCGTTCCGTTGCTGCCCAGTTTAAAGTTTCATCGGTGGCGGAATTGAATCAGGAGCTGAAGATGTGCAAGAAGGTGAGGCAGGAGAATATCAAACTTTTTATTGATCAGTTGCGCATCAAGTTGATTGAACAGTGGGACAAAGTATATAAATCGCAAGAGGAACGGGATAAATTTGAATTTCTGCGCAGCGAAATGTATACTGAAGATTTGCTTCAGCTGCATGAAATGGAACTTGAGGAATGCACCAAGTTTTACAATGAAAACAAGTGAGTAAAGCACATGAATGAATCATCATCGTTTTCAGATAATTCAATTGTTTTTTTAATCAATGGCAGAAACATCTTTGAATTGTTCATCTCACGAAATCAATGGTGGGAAAAGAAGAAGGCATTAGAAGCCAAACAAAATGAACCGAATCGCTACAACAATCGCGGGGGACAACTGCTGAAAGAGGAAAAAGACCGTAAGCAAACGGATATCGAAATCCCAAAAATCGAGAGAAGAATCAAAACATTGGCCGAAGAGTTTCGTCGGCAGAATAATCGTGACTTCCCCATAAATGGTGTGTGTATCATACAATTGATGGAACAAGATTGGGAGATTTACAGAGACTCAAAGGAGTTGCTGAAGAGCGCAAGGAAAGCAACACCATGTAAGGTGGCAATTACGCCGAGAACTCCACACGGCCATGTTACATTGAAACGAATGGCTTCAACGACCAAGTATGTTTTATTATGCTATATTATCCATATGTAGAAGGATTAAATAAAAATTAAATTTATTCTGTTTTCGGTCCTAGTTTGGGCATGACAACTGGAAATTTGGCAAAAAAGAAGAGAAATTTGGAAGAAAACTTTGCTCCGCGCGTAATAAATCGAACAGCATCTGTACAAAAGTTTACGGTGGCCACAGCCCCGTCATATTCAGTTCGATCACATACAAAAAGAAATTTACTCAATCAATACAACGATGAAAATGTGTCTGGATTTGCCAAGCCCAGTGGCATGCAGCAAAAGCGAATGATGACCGTCAATAAAAAACACGGGGTATAATAGTTGTTGGAAGTTATTCGCATGGATAGCCGAATTTCATTATTATTATTTTTACTCTTGTCTTAGACGCTTGTTAACATTTCTGCCAGCAAAATACTGAAGAAATACCGTCTCTCCAATCGTCGTCAATCGTCTCATAAGGGGATCGTTTCGGATGAATCACTCGTTAACTATGATGCATTTGAGGTAAGTATTTCATTATTTTGATAGCTCAGATTGTTTGATTCCTATATACACATCTTTCAATATTACAGAATAACATCAAAACATCCCAAGTTTCGAATTCTTCAGTTGTTGGCGTGGGCATGAAGGAGAATTTTCCACATTCTGAAGGACATTCGAAGCCCGCAAAGAATAACAACTATCGTGCAAAGTCACCATTGAAGCCGTCAAATCTGGGAGTGTTGCAAACCCACAATGTTATTGATTTAGTTTAAAATAAGGCGTTCGACAAACAGTATTTTCTTTACGGTATTACATATGGACAAATAAAACATTCTTATTCAATTCATTATAAATTTATTTGTATATTGCAATATTCTGTTAGAAACAAATTGAGCAACTTTTCCTGAAAAAAAATTACTCAGCTACTGAATTGCATATGTTGAAAATGTATTTAGTGCTTGAGCTGCATTTGCTCTAATCTATGGGTAGAAATTATCATTATAATTATGCTATCGTTTACTTTGCCCGACGTCTTTGCATTTTTAGACGCTTAGTTTTTTTATGATTTTCAAAATTTGAAAACGCTTCGAATATAATGAACCTACGATTGTTTTCTTTTCTAATCGCATAATATTTGTTAGTTTTAAGTGAATTAAACAAAATCTTGATTGAACACACCTTTTATTTCCAAAAGCACTTCAAAAAACGGTCTTTTTCATATTATTTTTTATTTTTAATTCGTTATCATTATATCTCTCAATACCAATCACTATCCGTTCGTATGCAATGCACAATGGCTTATGTTTACATCAATATGGAATATATGAAATGAATGAAAGTGAGTTTAAAAGACAGATTATACAGCCTTCTCTCGAATTGCATGAAAATATGGTTTATGTCAAATAGAATGTGTAATAGTACAATTTATATTTGAATGCAACAGATTTTGGTTACAGTTAAATGTAATAGGTTTTTCTTGCCATCCGTACCAGCTGACTGGCATATCATAATCGTTAAAATGTTTGAATGTTTGTGAAATGTCAGAAATAATACAGAATGAAAACGGCACTGTACTCCAAGTGCAAATGCACTTCATTCCATCCAAAATGTAAATGTAATGCAAGGAAATTGTAAACTACGTCATCTGTAGTATTTACTGATGTTAACTAAATCGCTACAATAGAAAGCTTTCATAAGGAAGAGATTTTCCTCAAATGAATTATTTATCTTAAATGTCTCCTGGCATTCGTTTTGCTGTTGTTTCGTCTGAATTGGTCTGTGTTTTGAAGCAATTGATTTGATGTTTGAATGTTAATAAATTGGATTTGTTATTTGGTTTCAAGATATCTTATTTCGCCACCAGGAGAACAGGAGCAATGGTGAATATTCGTTTATGTAATACCGCAAAAGTTGGGCGAAGTATAATAAATTGACAAAAATGTCTGCAACAACATTAGCATATTCACGTGTCGTACTTTCTACTAATAATTGTTGTAACTTTTGAAATTGTTCAGACTTGGACACAATAAATGGTTCATAGATGGGTGTATCGCTCAAATATTTATGAATTGGAAACGGATAGTGATAGGTATGTGAAGTTTGATTGACCTCAGTGGCTGAGGTCAAGTCCTGTAACCCTCAGCTTGGAAATTTAGTGTAGTGCGCGTAAGTCAAATCGTAACCGGGAAAACGACAGTACTGTATATCACGTCTCTTCCATTCTCCAATCGATGTTTTGTAATCCAATTCATGACCAGCATCAATTGCTTTCGATGTCTGCAACAGAACGAGTAATAGTTCATTCAATAATCGAATGGAAAAAAAAATATGATGAACAGTTTCATGTAATACAAACCTTGCTAACAAAAATGGTGACCAAGAATTTGGATGGTTGAAATACTTTGATAACACGAGAGATCAAATCACTATAATTTGATGCGGCCACATTACTTTCAAAGCTGACATACGAAAACTCAGGTTCTGGCGTGATGTGAATGGTCATGTAGCACCCCTGAAATATGAATCATTATTAGTATTAGTGGCCATTATCACTAAAAAGACTAAAAAATACCACCCATCCAATATTTATGAATAACTAAATGCAAAATGTTTTTTTTCTTTTTTTTCATGCAGATTGACTTACTTCTTTATATTCATCATTTCCAGTCAACTGACAAGCATTTATATTAGTGATTTTGAAGCGAAAGATATTTATAATTATTTTAAATATAGAAATAATGTTTACTTTATGCATTAATCAATGATAGATTTTCATTATAGTTACCTCATGCTTCGAAATACCATTCATTGAATAGCCACAAGGTTCAAACTGATAGTCGTCAATAATCATGTCCGGAAGTAACTTTTCGATACCAGATCTCTGAAAGTTTGATGAAAATAATTCAATTGCTACATTCCACATGAAAATCTAAATCAAGATGCTATGAAAATCGAGATAAACTACCTGCGTAGCCTCCGTTGCATTTTTGCATTCTTCCTTCGTGAAGATGGCCATAACATCTGGATCAAGGTCAGTCATTAAAATTTCAATAGTCTGATCTGGTTCAATTGAAAGTCCGTTGCCAACATTTTCATATTGCTGTGCCGCGATTCCTCCCTCGCGGTTGTAAGTGTATAAATACCAGCAATCACGGTTGAGCGATCCCAAACAGTATGCGCGACCACTATCGAAAAATGTATCTAAGAGGGTGACTTCCTCTTCAAAACTTCGATGTGGCGATACTTGCAAATCTGGTCGTTTGAAATTTTTACGCGAGTAAAATAGATAATCAACTTCGACGTAGCCGGCAAGCGTTTCAGCCATTTGCAAGAGGGGTTCAATGCATTCCAATGGAGTTGTAGTTCCGCAAGTTTTCAAAATCCACCGGCGTTTCGAGACAAACATGCTACTCTCGCTATAAATAAATGCAGTAAACAGAAAAAACACAAAATCAAACACTTGCAGAGCACATGATAGTCATTTAATAGCGATTTAGCGATTGTAAAATGAGAGAGAATGACAAATCACGGTGCGATATACATACTATGAATACACATATTGAATTACAAGGACAAAAGGAGAAAATCTATTCATGCATCTGTGTTTGTTCGCTCTTTTTTTCCTATGATCCACTTAACTGTGTGGTTGCATATTCGTTTGAATGTCGACAAATACGACGGAATGGATTCACAGGAATCATTTTTTTTAAATTGCGACACATGCCAAAGTTTTGCTATTCAGAAGTGCATGTAGAATCTACATTGTAGATGAGGAGTAAGCATCTGAACATATAATTGTTGTTTGTGGTGGAAGGCTATCTCTGGTAGACATAATTGGAATGCCGCCAATGACCGATTCGATCATGACTACGTGATGATTTTTGTGTGGCAATTCAGGCAAACAGTACTTCACGAAAACAAAAAGAATTTAATATCTATACTAAGAACAAATATTTTTTCCTTTCATTTCTGTAGCCTTATCAGTATTATCTATTACACGGTGCATGTTTACGATAGGGAATCTGTCATGAAATCGAAAATGCCAACAAATGAACTATTTCAAACGAAAGCAATAATCGTCATGGTCATAAAATGAGTATGATACTAAATTTGAAGTACCGATTGCTAGTAACAGCTTAATAAATCGAACGAGGCGTATAAAACAAATGATCTTCGCAACTGGAAGAACTATGAAGAATGTTTTTTTCTGAATGAACACACTTGTGAAATGTCTAGTCGAGGATTTCAAAAATGATAAGCGAACTTTCCACTCAATCATCCGGTTGCGATGTGGCTACTGATAACACAACAGACTCGTGCTAATGAATTGATCTTGATCGATTCTCTGCGGCTGATTTTTTTTTGTCATAAAAGTAGAGCAGTTTTGTTATCAAAGGAGCTATTATTCACGCAAAATTGTGAATATTTCTAACGAAGACAAAAAAAATCGCTTCATAAAACAATGTGAATACTACGGAGATGATTGACAAATGTATTTATTCAATATCGCAATAGATTCAGGAGCAATTTCTGCTGTATATGCAACACGTGCTATACTTTTTTCATGTAAATGATCGAACAAAATCCAATTGCGCACAAATTACTGGTAGTGTTGGATGAAAAAAAAAATGCGAGTCTATTGAATAGATGAGAAAACATAGCTATGTATGAAAATTGAATGTATTGCAAAAAACGGAAATTTATTATTCGAATTGAACATTTTTACGTATTGACTACTCACCTCAGAACGTACGCATCAATTTGGTCATTTCGTTTGAAACTTATTATTTCGCACCGAACTGATTTTAGCAAAGCATCCCACATTGATCTGGAAAAGAGATAAAAAAAATGATACCGTAATGCTTATTGGTACTATATGTTAACTTAAACCATTTATTAGCAATCAGTCGTAATATTTATTCACGTTTAGCTTCAAATACCCACTTAAATGCAACTCAAAACAATCAACAAATAGTGCGACGATGAACGGAAAAAGAACGAAGTGTTTGTTTATTTGAATATTGTGACTCAGGCGATCGTGTTCTAATGCCGGCCGCATTCTATTTTTATGCGCTCTTCAATCACAACGAAATATCACATCTTTTTAGCGTTTGTTTTATCTTCAAATACATACATTGCTTAGGCTCAACATAACAGTGGGAAAAAGCGTCTAAACGGACATCTACCTTATATTAAACTCTAAATAGCTGGTAGCCCGATGCAAGAAATAGATGGGAACGCGAAAATATAGAAATATGTCTATTCTAGATCCACATATTTACATCTAAGAGTAATGAATGAGTGCAGTTTGCAATCAAAATTATGGGGTGTCGTGACTTGATGGAAAGTATTTGTCATTTGGTATTTCAAGTAGTTGTTGTCATTTCGTTTGATTGTTAAAAATCCTGCAGATGTTGTCCCTATGTACATTTTGTTTATCATATATTCAATATATACATATTTTAGTAAGTTGTGGTTGTTATCTACCGTACAAAGTATTTGATGGCGAATTTCAATTAAATCGATAGTATATGTCACATATGCATATAACTCCCGTTTAAACAGGACATTTTTCGAAATCTGCAGACCAACAGAGATGAATAGCTCTGTCTCGCTCTGTTTTTATTTTTTTTCTCTGACTATGTGTTTCCGTGAATGTAAAAAGGAGAGAAATTATGTAATAAATTTCACCCTCGCAAGGACACGAATATACGTCAGCAATATACGTATGTACAACTATATATGACATTGCCACCTCTTTTTCGATATGTTCCGCCAATAATTGGTGTAGAGGGAAAAAAAGCTGTTTCTATTTTCTGTTCATTCCACTATGTTTTCTTTTTTTATTTTGGTTTTTAATGTGTGTTGTATCGCATATATAATGTTAATTATGCAAATTGAATGGGAAAATATAAAGTTTATCCAGTGCTGTGATTCGCGGATGCTTTTGGGAAAATGAAATAAAGTGGGGAAATTTTGCACATGAACGAATGCCATTGTGCGTACGGCTGCTATATATATTTGTAGCAATGCGCTTCTTCTTCTTTTTCTTCTTCTTGGTATTTTTCCGATTTTTTTTTTTACTTACCTTGGAATTTTCCTTAAGTCGGCATTCTTGCTCGATGGATTTGGTGTAAACCAAATTTCAAGAAGTTTTTCTACACCCTCAAAATATTGTGGGTTGCTGATACTCTCATTCTCAGACATGGTTAATATAAATGTTATGTTTCTTGTTTATTTTATTTTTCACTATATCATCTGTTTCGTTTGTGTCTTTGACTTTGAACGATGAAAATGTGTATTATTTATGTTTCAAACGTGTTATTTCACATGTACAAATTTTTCTTTCTATGTATTTGTTTATTTATTCTTTTTATTTCTTGTGCAGCTGTTTAACTTCTCGTTCTTCCAGTGTTTGTCCAAAATCAACAAATTTGGGAAAATATTCGAAAATTTTTAACTATTAATTTCGTTTACGATGGATAAGTTTTAGTGAGAATTTACCGCGAGAGAGGAGACTGAATGGAGGAGCAATATTTTTTTTTGAAACTGTTGCTACTTTGACGTTTCAAAATTGACTGACACAGCATACAGAAGCGAGTACAACGTCTAGAAATTTCAGATCTGATATTGCTGTCTAGTTGCACCAATACAGATTCACATGACATTAGTGTAGTGTAATCCAATTTGAAAATATTGAAAATACATTGATAAGTTATCCTGACAGAAACGTGCGCACTTGACAATTGAGAAAAAAACGATGTTTTCGATGTTTCGAATGTATGTGACAGTTGTTGAAGGGGAATTGTAGAAACGATGTAAAATGATAACACCAAAATTGTCCAAAATGTAACTATTGTATATATTTCCGACACCAAATACAAAAATGCCCGTCAGCAATGTAAACAGATTTCCTACTTAAGCTCTATATGGAGGTTTCCATCCACCAAACGCGTTTTCAAGCTCCTCTGCCACCGCTAAGCAGTGACGGTCTCGATTTCTGGCGGCAACTACTTGAATCCCCAATGGCAATCCTTTCGAGTCTAGTCCAAGTGGAACCTGAAAATTAATATTGAAAACCGGTAATGGACTATTCTATAAATTAGACTAATTCTATAAATTAGACGAAAATTACTTGCGTGGCTGGAACATGTAGCACATTAAATATTGACCAATAGCTGAAGTCAGATACATTGAGAAGGAGAGCATAATGGAATGGTGCTGTTCTGGTCATATTATGGTATAATAAAACACCATCATCTCCTAGAATATTCTGCAAAGAAAATTTACTTTTGTAAATATGTATTACAAAGAATTAAAAAAACGAACCCTGTTAACATAAACTTCTTTGGTCAACACATTACCGTTAATTCTTCATCACACTTTCTTGTGATTTCTTTGATTTTGTCAGCTTTCTCCTTCGGTAGAATTTCATCGATCAATGAATATATTGCAGCCATAGTCAAATCACTTGTAAATGTCAACTTTTTAACGAGTTCAACAATGGGATTTAGGCGTGTACCATTGCCCAATAGTAAATTGAAATCGGCTGGCTCTTGTGTCATCCAGTAGCGCCACAATTTCGTTGCTCTATCAGTTCCATGCAATTTAATTTCAATTGGCTTTGTATCTGCAACACTTTCCAAATGGTTAACCACCTTTGTCATTGCAGTTTGCAATTCACTCGATACCGGGGTACATTTGTGTTCACCACTTTCACGAACATAATAGTACTTTAATTTCCGCACATCAACCTTTTCATCCAACTTGAGAATGGGTTGTTTCTTTGGATCAATTAAAATCTGGCAACAACACAATGGACAGGACACAGTCATGATTAGATCAAAATTTATCAATGATGATAATAATAATACCAACACAAATACAACATACCTTGAACAGTGGTAACAGATCTTTTGCATGCCGACTCATAGGACCTGCTACGACCATTGTAGAAGCTTCTTTACCAGTTCTAAATGTACATCCTCGAGTATTGATTGCCCCAACCGTCGGTTTGTGTCCAAATATTCCACAATAAAATGCTGTGTTAGCGAACGCACAAACATTCAAAGAAATTTGGTTATTCATTTGTGCACAACAAACAGTGGATATTAGCTAATGCTCTTACCTGGCATCCGAATACTTCCACCTATGTCTGTACCCAATCCAAATACGGATGCACAAGATGAAATAAGCGCCCCTTCACCACCGCTTGAGCCTCCGACCGTACGGCGTAAATCGTACGGATTGTTGGTTATACCTATAAGATTATTTCTTGTTTCTTGCCATTTATTCACCTCGGGAATATTAGTGGTCGCTAGAATAATCGCACCGGCTTTTTTAGCCAATGCTACACACTCCGCATCCTCCTTTGAATGTGTTGTTTTGCGTGCAAGCAATCCCAACGTATGCAATTTGCCACCAACACTGGTACTGTCCTTCGTAGTGAATGGGACACCGAGGAATGGCTTTGATGCAAATTCCTCTTTTGATATTTGGTTCATTGCAATGCGCTCGTCGATCATTTGTGCTTCCTTTAGTGCTTCTGCAACGAATGGTCCATCAACTATCGCATTTAGAACTCCATTCACTTCATTCATACGATCTATAGTGGCCTTGATCAATTGTGTCGATGTGATCTGTTTGGTTTCGATTAGATTCGCCAGCTCTTTTGCACTTTTAGTCAAAAAACTGTATTCACTTTTAAGCGGTGGACATGTTTTCTTCTCCCCGAAATACCATCCGAGAAATATTTCTGAGAGTTTGTCTTTCAGAATCAAAACCATTGAAATGACATAAAACAAAAGCTTCCATGAAAAATCACGAACCAACTGCGATAATTTGTTCGGTCGAGATCTTTTCTGTAGCAAAATAAAGGGAAATAAGCGTATTATTCAGTCTGCATAACAAAATGTAAACTTTGGACTGATATTGTGTTCTGTATACGATTCTACGGCTACAAACCTTTTCTGTTATGACAACCTTGGATTTTTCAACACACATTTTGAAATCGTTAATTTTATGATCGTCACAGGCGAGTTTTAAAGTGTTTTTTAGAATAAATTGGCGAAAATTCCCTTGCGCTTTGAATACCACACAACTCAAAAGAAGAACCAAATCAAAAACCTGATCTACAACTAAATTTGAATAATGACAAAAGCAAATTGAATGAATCCACACATTTGAGCTTGTCATACGTCATCAATACAGATATATACTGATACATACCGATATTGTTAATTTGCATTAATGGATGTAATGTTGGAACGAATGAAAAGTGGAGAACGATTCAAAATAATATATATGTTATGTACAAGTACATAACAAACAAATTTATTTCCATGATTTTCATTTTTCAATAACCATATAACAAGAATAGATCAAAAAAATATATTTTCATTCTATTTGGCTACACCATATGTTGATTTCAAGCTATTAAAGTATTCCATATCTTTTTTATTGATTGAAGGAACAAACATGGATATCGCTTTACGAAAATCAGCCAAATTAACATGCACATCATCGGCACTTAATTTGACATCAGTATCGCTTGTATTATCTGTATGTTCAGTGATGCAACGTCTGACGGCAGTCAACCATGCATTGGAACAAACTGAATAGATATCAGCACCTGTCATGTCTTGTTTCAAGTGTTCGGCGATAGTGTTTATTGTCAATCCATCATCGAGATGGAATTTCTGCATTTGAGCTGATAGAACTGCTGCCTTATCCTCTTTCGTTGCATACGGACCCACGTATAACAACTTATCGAAACGGCCGGGTCGCAGTAAAGCTGGATCAATTAGATCTGGTCGATTAGTGGCGGCTAAAATGAATATTTGTTTCTGATCATCATTTCCCAGCATATTATCCATTTCTGCGAGCAACTGACTGGATTCGTTAGTTGTAATTTTGCGGAAAAATTTCTGAATATTAGCCAATTGTTCATTGTACTTCGTAAAAACAAAATTGGTACCTTGGAGGTACCTACCTTGTACCTACCTGACAACGCGATCCATTATACCACCACTTGATAAAATTACAATATACAAATTATATATTTAAATAAATTATATATTTAAAATTATAATATTATATAAAATTGGTTACCTATCACCAGCCGCTCCACGATTTGGTGCTAATGAATCCAATTCATCCAAGAAAATAACACAGGGGGCTGCCGATCGAGCTCTGGTGAAAACTAGAGACCGAGAGAGAAAAAATATTCATAAATTAAATCATAAATAAAACGGTCACACTTCCACAAAAAAACCATACCTTCTCTAACATTTTGCTCGCTTTGACCAACGTACATATTCAAGAGTTCGGGACCTTGTACAGAGAGGAAGCTTAAATTGCATTCGGTCGCAACTGCTTTGGCCACTAAAGTTTTTCCCGTTCCTACCATAATGTGGAAAGGAAAAAACCAAAACAATAAGATTACAATCTTCTCAACAGTGGAAATATGTCAAGTTATCTATTTACCCGGTGGACCATATAATAAAATACCGGATCTTCTCATATTCTTTCCCATCAAGTGTACATGCTTCAGCGGAAGACCGATGCTACTTTGAATTTCCTCTTTAAGTTTACTGAGGCCACCAATATCGCTCCACAGGACACGCGGTACCTTTGGATAAGAATAAAACGTTATTTTTTATTTCGTCCGTAATATTGTTCGATTTTTCGTATTTCATTACCTTTGGCGCACCCAAACTATCCGAAAATTCACTTTGCATTTCATGGAGAATTTTTTCAAATTCCTCGATTTCCAAGCAGCTTGCTTTGGTAAAAATTTCAACCGACTCACGGCAATGCAACAGACTCTTTGTACCATTGTCGAACAACAACTTCAAATCACCAAAATGGAAGCCTTGAGTTTTATCGGCCATCGATTCTAAATATTGGTTTACTGTTTCAGCGCACCGTAGATTTCGGGACAAATGGTACTTGGCTGCATTCATGGTGCGACTATTCCACAAAGGAATATCGGTGAAATCTTGATGAGCTCCATTGAAAATCTCTTGAACAATGACTTCTTTGTGAAAAAGCCATTGCAAATGATGCAAGCGTTCATGTTTGTTTGGCGCTTCAATTGATATCGTTTCCAAAAATTGACTTTGAATGATTGGTTTGGTGATTTTTCCATTTGCTAAAGCAATCACGATCACGGGATAACTGCGATTTTTGGCAAATAAATTGTGTAGTTCAGTTTGGAACATGGTCAATGCACGCAAATCTTCACGGCCCTCGTTATCAACTCCGAATAGTTCAAAATTATTCAGGGTAAATATGATTGGCTCACAAACGCCCGCCTTAGCCATGGCCAGTTTCAATTTGGATTCCGTTTGTGCGGGAATTGCGTTTGCGATTTCTGCACAATTTACGCTGTACTCTTGAAAACCCATGCTTCGTGCAATGATACTAACCAGACTCTTTTTACCGGAGCCCCGGTCACCTTGTAGAAGAAAAATGGGAAATATACGGGTTTTCAAGATTGATCTAAGCGAATTGGCTGAAGTTGCAGCATTCGATGATGGGCTAGCTGTAGTCGATGTTGAATAGAAACTATTTCCGACAAATGGTAAAATGCAGGCTTTCATATAGTTAAAGTACCGCATCAAACCCCACGGACAGGCACTAACAAACCCAAAATCATGCAGATATTGCCGTGGAATCGGATAATTTATGCTGGTTGATTGATGAAGTGTCGTTGCTCCCTTTGCAACAACGGCAAAACTTTCGAATTGACAGTCACTCGATTCCAAGTGAACACAGCGAAAATAGATTTTCTTCAGCGGTACAAATATATGGAAAAATTGCGAATACAATGCCGTTCCAACTTGCTGTTCGTCCAATAGAATTTCGTATGTGTGATTGCGGTAGAGAATGCGCGGGATCGTGAAAAAATTTGTAATAATTTCGTCGGTAACATCGAGAGGTATTTCGTATGGATTTTTTATTAGAAACACCGTTGCGCGACTAGCTAGCCTGGGTAAACTTTGTCCGGCTGTCATCTTTTGCAAGTTAACCAGCAACGATTGATTGTGATCACGAATTTTATTCTTTATGCACCAATTTTGATAACAATTTTCACTAACAAATACACAATTTTTCTGGCATTTTGCCACGGCTACCGCTGGAACTAAAACTGATGAGTTCGGCTTCGTGAGAATAGTTTGGACAATATCCGGCGATCGTTTTGTTCGTTGGTTTCGAGACCCATTTTCACCGTTTCCAAAGACAACGTTCAGCCAATTTTGTTTGCTGTCTAGTTCATATTTGTCGAATATCTCGTCGGAGACGAAACAAAAATGATCACTTAGGTATGGTTCATTTTTAGCCAAAATCGCGTAAAATTTGTTTGGCAATGGTATCACACGGAATTTTGGATTTTTCTTGAGCGCCACCAATTCATTGTAGGTTTGTATCAAAAGAAATGATGGGAAAAAGTAGCACGGATATGATGGATATAGGATTTTTGAAACGTATGCTATGGTTCGGTAAAAACGCTTCAAATTCGATGGACTTTCATTAGTTTTTATTGCCATTTTCAATGTATTTTTTAATTTTATTTTATTATTTTTATATTTTGAACTTTTTTTGCACGGATTCTACAGCTTAAACAAAAGTTCACCAGCTCTCACTTGAGCATTCAACTGAATGAGCTGAGTCATTTGCTCCTACAACGTGAAAAATGGAATTTTCGTCATCATTATATTTATAAAGATCACAGTCGGCAATGAAAAATTCATGTGTTTGACCACTACGTAATAATGAAAATTCACAACATTCATCTATTTTTAAAGTTTGTGATTAATGATTATCATACACTTCCAAAATGTGTTTTGACATAAAGATTGAAAAAATTGAAATTCAGTGGAATTGGAGAACTGTCATTTGATACTGTTTTGTTTTGTTTTGTTTCTTCATTCTCTTTTGACAGCTGTCAAGGTATATTCAAATCGTATAAAAATGCGTATATTTCGTACTTACGGCACAACGTTTGTTCTATTTTTTAGTTTTTCAATTTTCTTTTCAATTCCTACAAAATGTGATGATATAAAAAGTACTATTCGATCCGTCGATGTATTTAAAACCAAAGTGTGGGGACCAGGACTGAATCCCGAAAAAATCGTGCTCCCTGTACGTTACTTTTACATTCAAGCCTACGATGCATATGGAAAATCGTAAGACATTCAATCAGTGTTCATTGGATTAGACTTTTATTGAAATGTTCCTGACTATGGCCATTTTTCAGATTCAATACATCGACGGCTCAAAGATTTGATGTAAATATACGCGGAGAATCATCGGCTGGAAAGTGCCGGGTTCGGATCGAGCAGTTTGATAGACGTGATGGTGTTTATATAGTACGATATAAAATTGTTGGAGTTTGCTGGAACGTTGAAATTCACATTCAGTATAAAAATAAACATGTGGCAAACTCACCATATCGAATACCGGACAAAGATGTATATTCAGATAAATGCCGGTGTCCGCAGGAAATTGATAAATGGTTGAAAAACTTGAATTGCGACACATCGTACGAGCAAATTGAATCCGATCTGAAGCCATTTAAACGTGTTAATTTTACCGAACTTCGCCCAAAGATATTGAGAACCTACGATAAACCGGGTAGCATTTCAATTTGCAATTTTATCATCAAGGATAATCAAATCTATAGGAAATGCTATGGGCAACACACTGGCTTCAAAATGTTTGAAGACGCACTGCTCAAAACATTAGTTCGGCTGGTTCGATTGCCAGACATGGAGTTCATGGTTAATTTAGGCGATTGGCCGTTGGTGAAAAAGGGTGGCATAACTCGGACCCATGGCCCTTTACCAATTTTCTCGTGGTGTGGCAGCGAAGACACATACGATATTGTTATGCCAACGTATGATCTAACGGAATCAACTCTACAAGCTATGGACCGCGTTTCCATTGACATTTTATCCGTGCAAAATGCACAGATATCATGGTCTGAAAAGCAATCGATTGCATTTTGGAGAGGAAGAGATGCACGAAGAGAGAGACTAGATTTGATTGATATTTCCCGCAAATATCCACACCTTTTCAATGTATCGCTGACCAATTTTTTCTTTTTTCGGGACGAAGAAGCAAAATATGGACCAAAAACTGCACATGTTTCATTTTTTGAATTTTTCAATGTAAGTCTTTTAGAGTAGGAGCATCTTTATAGAAAAAAAAAGTGTGTGCAAGTTTAAGCCAATTAATTCTATCTTTTTTTTCTCTCAGTACAAATACCAGTTGAACATCGATGGCACTGTGGCCGCTTATCGATTCCCATATTTGCTGGCCGGCAACTCTGTAACGTTCAAACAGCAATCAACATTTTATGAACACTTTTATAATGAATTACAGCCCATGTACCATTTTATTCCCGTAAAAAGAGACCTATCAAATTTGGTCGATCAAATAAATTGGGCCAGGAAGAATGACGATAGCGCAAGGAAAATATCGCGTCAAGCTCAAAATTTTGTCAATGAAAGACTCACACCGGATAAAATACTCTGCTATCACGTTAATTTGCTCAAGGTATATACGAAACAAGCATAAAAAATTGGAAAATAACAATCTATTCAATTTATATACATTTCAATCAATAGGAATGGAGTGGGCGATTAGTCGATAGCATTCAAATTCAACCCGATATGGAGCGATTAGATGAAGAAGATAATGAATGCGATTGCATTGTAAATGTTAAAACACCACGAGATGAATTGTAAACTACTATTTTATTTCAATAAATTTGACATTTTCTTTCAGTAGATGGCGTTTCATCGTCACTTACAAGCTAAATGTATTTTGGTTTATAAATTGAAAGTTAGATAAAGAGCGGCATAAATCAATATTATCCACTTTGTTGGTTGTTTAGTTGTAGCATAGTTGTAGAATCCACCATATACTTGAAGGTTTGCCGTGTCAATGCTACAAAAGAACGAAAGAGATTTCATTTTTTTTAAAATTATAAATCAATTCTTGTATGAATCACCTGTGTTTACAATAGTCTCCATCATAATTCCAACCAACGAATTCGTTGTTTCGTAAATTCTCTTGACGCAACCATTCTTCCAATGGACGAAAATATTCACGCAATGCCGTACCATCAAGTCGGCCCTCACCAATGGCTTCTTGCAAAACTTCCTGCCACCGTTGTGATGCACCTTTTTCCATGATTTGCCTAACAGAACGGCCATAAGATTGTGATTTTTTTGGCGATGGTCATTTATAAATAGCGTTCACACTTACTTCAAAATATTTCCGGCAACTGGCTGACGGTATATGTCGCATTTGTGTAGTGGTTTGTTTTCATCGCCAGGATCATATTGTAGAGCAGCCTTGCACATTGCACGATGAATTTGAAATTGCAAAATGGTTGCGATAAAATACCTAACAGGAGATAACGGGAATGATATTCACACATTATTGTTTTTTTTCTATACAAATTTGTTTGCGCTTACGCTAATGACCCTGATACTTTCGATACTTTCGATCAAATAAAACCTAATGTATCTCTCTTACGAAAACCTAGACACAGTGAACTTTGTGTTATTGAATTTATCCACCTTATCGGATGCATTGAGAGAAAAAACACGTGGAACATTCCTCAACTTGTATAAGACACATAATATGAATAAGGAAGATTGCTTTTTATTAAATTTACGTTGGTCATGTGCGCAAGCATGAATGCTGACAAGATACAGCAGTATATAGCAAGAATTCCATATAAACATCGGTAACGTTGCTTCTCCCGAAACATTGCTTCCAACTTTTCCACCGTCGACAATTACATAAAAACAACTCTTACGGATTTTACACGTTAGATTAAATGAATGTTTAGATTCCATATACTATACTTTCTTTCTGCGCTTGCGATTCAAAGTTTTCACGCGCACGTGTACGTGTGTGGAAGTTGTACACGGTAGTAAAGTACGGGTTTTCAAGGGAAATGCGTGGTGATAGAATTGAATTATTATATTCGTCGTCTAGATATTTGTAAACAATTTATGAATGTATAATTCATAACATTGATTCGCTAATCTGTTGAGTTTGCACATCGAAACTTTAATGGTTAGAAAGTGCAATACCCACCAATTGTTATTGTATACGCATACATGCGGTTCCCGCACTTACATCATTTCCATTACATACTGATCGAAATTGAAATTGACTTGAAACCGTTGCAAGACACTTCATTCTTTACGATTTACTCAGAAGCGGCTTCGAAAATGATCATGATTGAAAAAAATTATGCATATATACATTCCATATTAGCTATTGACGTTGGTTTTATAGTCTTCGTTGAACAAATGATGATATGTTTCAAATTAAGAAATTTAATGCGGTTCTATTTCAACAAATTAAATTTCCAGTTCAAGCTTAATTTTTATATCACTTTGATTCGTTGGTATTATTAAGTGAAACAAAACACAAAATAGAATTAATGAGCTGAAGAAAAGGTTGTAAACTCAACGGAGTGTTTCATACATAAACACAATAGAAGACAATTGAAGCAGGCAAGCAGGTTTTCTTTAAATGTTCAAGTCTCATGAGAAATCGATTGAAACGAAAAATATATAACTCAAAAACCGTGCAACAATATATATAGTTCACAGGAAAATGAGACAAAACAAAGTCAGCGTAATTTGTGGTAGAAACTTGAATCCAAGAACCGTAAATGAGAATAAAACTACGTAGATGTGGGGCCAAAATCCACTCAACCAAATGGTTTGCGACAGTGCGGATTGCGACGTTTTTTTCACACGTTTATGCAATTAAAACCGATCTGCAACCATTTTAATGTAGCATAAAGAATGAATGGGAGATACTCAATAACATTGAGCCGAGACACTGGATTTTCGACAACAAAAATCTGCAAACACTCAAATCAGTAACAGGTTATTATACGATTCGTTCACAGAGGGAAAACGATTTGATATAATTTAACACATATTTATATGATGAACATAATTTTTCAATTCTTTTTTCGCGATCAAATCGCAGAAATGCTCTTCGATAAATTGAAGCTTAATTGCTTTAATGATAAATTTTGATTCAAAGTCAGTCAATTTATTTCTGTTTGTGTAATACAAAAAAAATACACACGATCCACTTGACTCCATTGGTCGTGCAATGAAGACACATGTCTCATTATAAATGTAACTGCATAACAAATGAACGAAAAAATGCAACCACCATCTGATTGCACTTCTGTGGTGGAATATGGGTTCCGCGTATATGAGATGGACTATCTCTGTTTTGCAAGACGGAAGCGGAAGAATACTAGCGGAACGCCCATATGGATTCAGAATCAAAAACTAAACATCTTTTCCATCCTTGGAGAACTCAAGTGATATTTAAAAAAGAACAACTTGTCGATGCAGACGATCCCCTTTTCAATCAACTCTGAATTGCAGCCAATCAATGTGCATAAATCAATGAAAGAGATCTCCAGACAGAGAGGCTAAATTGTTGCAATATCATAAAATGCTTATATAGAAAGTTCTTTTCGAAAGAATAGAAAAAACATTTGCTCTGATTTATGGCACTTGTTGCTAGTTCCGGTTGGATTCAAACCATTGTGTGAAATGTGCTCTTCAGTTGATACACTACGTCTGATGAAAAAAATTTAATGAAATAAACCAGTTTATTTCCTATTTGGTTCAATTCGTTACGTGCGTGTTGAAAGTTTCAAATTAAAACCATTAATTATGCTCGACATTTAAATTTGGCGACACATGTTTTATTTTCATTAGAACACCTCGTGCGTCAACTTTGATTTTTATTCGTTTTACTATCGATAGCATTGGCATAAGATTTGGTTTATCTTGCGGTTTGATGGCAAAACGAAATTCCGCTCAGTTTCCATTTTTATGGACAATTTGGTGCGCATTTTACGTGAATAAAAACTCGATCCGGTTTAATCTAATAAATGACAAATTAAAAGCAAATTCAATTCGCGACTAGGATATTTTTGTAAAATGGTTTGATTTGAATTTAATTTAATCTAGATTATATGTTTTCTCTCTAGTGAAACATGGGCTGAAGAAAGATCAAGGTGAACACATTTCAATATTCTCACTCGTGCAGCATTGGCCAAAAGAGTTGTTTGACAACATTTAACCATAAATGAATTCGACTTATTAGTCAAAGGTTGAAAGTGTTATTCACTGGCTGAATTCTCTTTTTTCCTCAATATGTAGTTGAGTAGTGAAAATATATGGTATTTTATGGTACTTCCCTGAATCGAAGTCAAGGTTTCAGATTTCACGAAAGGAAAAGTGCTCATGATGCTTAGTGTATCACGCGCAAAGCATGACAAGACATACAGACAGAAGAAACGATGAAACGATCTCAATTTGTGCTGAACTTGGTAGAGTACGACAGCATAAAGTGATACAGATATTTTGAGAGTATGACGATGTCATCGTCGTCGTTGATGTTGCACCACTTATATTTTCCATTATATTGAATATTTTGCCTATTGAATCATATAATCATAGTGAGTGGACTGACCAAAATGAATGAAACTGCCCCAAATCGTTCCGTATCTTCATTTAATCAGACTGCGGCAAAATTGCTAATAAGCTATGTGATAACCATCGTGTTCAATTAAAAATTGAAACCTCGGCATTTAATCTAAATCAATTTGAGCGTTGAAGATAACAAAAGCAGTGTTTTATCAAATGCCAAAAAAGTATAGCACTCACATTCAAATTGCAAAATTCAACGAATGCATTAGCTATCAAAATGGAGTGCCGAAAAGATTTTGCGATGATCTTCGATTCGCACGAAATTTGGTTGAATAATAACTTGGATTCGATAGATTTGTGTTGCAATCGTAATATGGTTTTCTTCTTATGTACTGCATATGTACATTCGTATATCGTAGACACGTGCAACGTGAAGTGCATCATGGTATCAAAATCAAGTTGCTGTTTTTGTTTTCTACATTTACTTTTACTTCTGACTTGATTGTCACATACACACATTACACACGTAAACCAAAAGAACAAGTCACTTTACGTAATTCTTCTTCATTGACATTTAATTGCACTATAATGCATAACGTGGATGCTTCGACGACGACGTCACACAGACACAGACGTTTATGCATTGCTTACTATATTATTGAATAAATGTAATTGCTTGCTGGCTACAAAGCTATTTGATTTTATCAATGTGCACAATGCACAAGCACATACCGGTCCGTTTACATTGATTTGTACGCATTAATCGCGCTAATATTTCAATGTGATTTCAATTTTCCTCTTCACTCTTCAACTACTTACTATCTACTATTCAGTGAGTATGAGAAAAATGTGGTCATGTTTAATTTTATTACCGGTCAAAATAAAAAAATATGTTACAATTCACTATCACTACTATTTCTACTTTTCCAACAACGTTGAAGGATAGCTTTGTAATTAATTCCATCAAAAATGCGAGCAGTTGTTGAGTAATTGAGATATTTCTGATGTAAAAACGCTGATTGAGTTGAGCAAAACAAAGAAATACAATTTAAAAAAAACAACAACAATTAATAAAGACCGGCAATTAATAAGATGTAATAAGTCTCTCTTGAGCGAATGGATGTTTGATTATTGATATAATAAAATCATATTAAATAGTGATAGTAAAGTCGAACGAATAAATGGAAATGAAATTAGACGATAATTTGAAAATCGGTGAAGCGTAATAAAATCTAAATGATAAAACAATATGCAAGCTATGCGCATATAATATGTATTGCATATAAAATTTGTTTTGTTAGACTGACATTTGAACAATCTCTACTACGAGCAATGGACTCTGATGGTTGACTACTAATTTGTCAGCAGGTCAATTTTTTGTTTATCAAATTAACGGATATGTCTTTTCACATAGTTGATTGGCCTACTACCACGGATGTAAAATTGAATAGATTTTCTACAAACGTATATTTTACACGATGAAAACATAACATATTGGCTTCATCATCAGTCCATTGTATTGAATACCATTGAAAAGCAGAAACATTTCGATGAAGAGAAGAAGCAAAAAAAAACAAATTGCACGCTACTCGTATTCGTATTCTTGGCAATTGTTGTAAAAATCTTATGATATTTTGTTGTAGTTGTTGTGCGAACAGAATGGCTGCTCTACGGTGTTGCTACCACAACGTATATTCGTGACGTGGTATATGCCATTCCTCTTATCCATTCATCTTCTTGTTCTTGTGTTATTATGGTACGAAAGCACATATGTTCACATAAAAAAAACGTTTCGCATACATTTTACATACATTATACGAGCGCACGCTCGCGCCTATAGTATATTCATGCGATAGGGGGAGATATTGAAATACACACGATTGAAACGGAAAGTGTTTCGTCGCGAACACAAAGCGTCATTTCAGTTCGAGATTTTCTGTATAAAAGCACCGTCAAACTAATCCTCAGCATCTAGTTCATCGTCTGGGATCAACCAGATTGGAATAGTCATTTGTGAATCGTAACCATGAAAGCATTTGTGAGTAGAAAAACATATTGGTTTTTTCGATCGTTTCGGATGAAGTCGCATATCAGTGATTTAAATATTCAACCATCAAATTATCGTTTCGTGTTAATATACCGTGTGATCTATCAATTAAGTTTGTCAAATCATCAATCCATTAATTATTAATATTATGGAAATATGAGCTGCGAATAAAGATATATCCAAAATAAAGCAATATAAAATAAAGTAGCATGACGGGGACAAAAACCATGCATATATTTTACATTTAACATAGATTGATGGATGATATTTGATCAAACAATTTATTTGATTAAAAAACGCAAAGAATTCGGTTCAAAAACTCTTTTGCGTTCAGTGTGTTTTATTTTCGTAAATGATTGTATACGTGACTCAAGTGTATACGTGATTCTTTTGCTAAGTCTATCGTTCATAAAATTAATTCCGTCAAAGTGAAAAGATTATATGTGTTCCCTCATTTAGTTTGAACAATTTCAAATCCAAACGTGAAATTACTTTCGATTTTTTTTCTTCTTTCTTCGATTTTACCGTATTTTTAAAAAGTGCTTGCAAATGTGAATCTAATCTTGATTTGACGGTTTTCTTTTTGAAACTTGCAGTTGTTTATCACCGCACTTTTGGTTGTGTCAGCCTTTGCTGAAGAAGCCGCAAAAAGTGACAAGAAACACGCCAAACGAGGACT